AATTTTGGATTCCGTCCTTGTTTCAGCCCTCGTTTTAGATAGTATGGCTTCTTGTCTATAAATAAGGCCTGAGCAGTCTGCCCTCTTCCATCAATAACAAGCCGTGTGATCTTAGATGAGCAGTTAATGCCACAATTTAGAAAGTAGCAGCCTGCCAGTTTTATGTAACACACAGAGTATTTTTAGTTGTGGAGTTTTTTTCTCAGTGTTTAAAAATTATGAGATTTCATTTTTAAAAAATCAAGATTAAAAAAAACGTCCCTACCACTCACATAGTATATGCCATGTGCATTTATTCCCAGGGCCAGTTCATTCATTTTTATTAGCTGTCTGGCCTCAGTAAATGTGTATTTGCTACTCTGGACTTCGAGCTTCCTGCTATCTAAATTAAGGATCATTGTACTAACCTACTATATACCTACACTTTAAATAAATAAAAGTAATTTGAAAAGGTAAAAAGTATGGAAATGTAAGGCCATCGGATTATTTTTTTTAAATGACCTGGAATTATTTTTTTACCAGTACTTGTGTAGGAGCTATGAAAGTGATTTTATCTTTACTTATTTTATTCCATAAAATTGTTATGTGTATTCTTGCTCCTGCTCACCTTTTTTATTTAGCAGTTGACTTCGTAAGCTTATTTCCAACTGGCATTTTCATGAGCTGTCTGTGTTAATCTGGAGAGAATTTTTTTTTTTTTTTTAACATCAATCAAGCTCTTGGCATAAGAAAGACTGTCTTCTGGCGGACATGTGAAAATAGTCACGATAATTTTTAAGTGCTAAAACATTGTGACATTTCTCCATGAAGAATATTTGAAAATAGTTTGCTGGTTTCTCATGCTGCCACATTTGTTGTTGGAATTTAAATGCCCTTTGTTGTTCTTAACTCTAGAATATGATGACTTATGTAGTGTTTTGGTTTTTAAACTGTACCAGAGGCTTTGTAAGTATATAAGTAAAGCTTCAAAATGTTGTATATAAGAATAGAAATAAGAAACACATTTCTAATTGGGCTTTTATTATTTGAGGCCCAGCTTATCAAAATTGAAACGATAAATGATCGAGTCATAATCTTTTTGCTTTAGTTACTTATTCATCCATCCACAGCTAATTGAGTACCTCCCAGGTTTTGTTCAGCAAAAATAACATTGTACCATGACTTTGAAAACCACTACAGACATCTCAGTTAGTTTCTACCACAATATCTTATTCTTCTGGTGAGATTGCTATTTGCTCCTTCAGAGAGAGTCTTTTTTTTTGAGACAGAGTCTCGCTTTGTTGCCCAGGCTAGAGTGAGTGCCATGACATCAGCCTAGCTCACAGCAACCTCAAACTCCTGGGCTCAAGCAATCCTCCTGCCTCAGCCTCCAGAGTAGCTGGGACTACAGGCATGTGCCACCATGCCCAGCTAATTTTTTCTGTATATATTAGTTGGCCAATTAATTTCTTTCTATTTATAGTAGAGACAGGGTCTCGCTCTTGCTCAGGCTGGTTTCAAACTCCTGACCTCGAGCAATCTGCCCGCCTGGGCCTCCCAAGTGCTAGGATTACAGGCGTGAGCCACTGCGCCCGGCCAGAGAGATTCTTTATCCAAGAGAGAGACAAGTGGGTCTTACTTATGCTTCTTAAGCCACACATGTGCACTTGTTCCCTCATTGTTGAGTGTGCTACTGTGTTATCTATTGCTGCCCAGCAAATTACCCCAAAATGTAGTGACTTAAAATAACAGTAAACTCAAACCGTTTCTGTGGGTTAGGTTTCTGGGAATTGCTTGACTTGAGTGGGTCTGGCCTGGTTCTGGATGGATCTTGTCTGGGCTGCAGTCATCTGGAGGGTCCATGGCTAAGGTGGCTTGTTTACATACCTGGCAAGTTTGTGCTGATTGTTGGCCGGAGGCCTCTGCTCCCCACCACATGGGCTGCTTGAGTAGCCTCCCAGGATGACAGCTTGCTTTACCCAGAGTAAGAGTTCTAAGAAAGCAAGGCAGGAGCCACATCTTTTGTGATCTAGTCTCAGAATTTATACTCTGTTATTACTGCAGTGTCCTATTGTTTCCACAGGGGCACTCTACCCATTGGGGACGGGGGGGGGGGGGACTGACTACATGAGGGCAAAAATTCCAGGATATGAGAATCTTTGGGGCTGTTTTAGAAGCTGTCTATCACAGCTGTTTACTATCTCTCTTGGTCATCATTTGTTGTTTCCTGCTTTCAAATAGCACTATGGAATTAGAGTGGGCATTCCACTTGCATAGCTTCTCATGAAATATATACCAAAAGAATTTGAGAAGTGCCTATTGTCCAATTGCCAGGAGCACAGTGATAGATCATAAAACTGCATAGATCTAGAGTGTACTAAGCTCAGAATTTGTCTTAATTTAGGAGCCATTTATAGGGTTGTTCTTAAGTAACACATTTATAATTATTAGTATTTCATTTGGGAAGGCCATTTGAATTAAGAAGGTGAGTAGATATAAAAGCAAAAATTATTGATTAGTAGCAAATATTTCTTTGATGGTTATGTAAATGGATCTATTCTGAATCTGTAAATTTTCTTCAGTTTATCTCAGTATGCCTTGTAGTATCTATTTATATACAGGCATTCCTCAGCTGGAGTTTTAAATTACAACTTTTTGAAGTTCATTACCAGGCATTGAGGTTTTTTTCCCCCATAAGAAAAAATGTTACATTGTTCTTGTGTTCTTTGAATTGAACTTGTGTTCCAAGGCTAACCCACAATTATTTAATATATTAGAGACTATTTTTGTTTTGAAAATTAGAAGGAAATAATACTATTGCAAACCTAGTAATTAAAGAAATCAAAGAACTCCAGGCTTAAGCAGGAAGAATTATCTTAATTGGTGCTTACGGAAAAATTTGTATAATTTGAGAGAAGGTCTTAGAAATCTAGGAAAATTCTGAAACAGGTCTCTGGATTTCATTTCAATACAAAAATGCATCAGACCCTGTTTTCACCCTCATTGGCTTCAAGGTGTGTTTTATTTATTTAGTTAGTTTTAGGGGTGTCTGGGGGGAGGGGATCTGCTAGGAAGTCCTAAAATAGAGTGGAGAAAAGAAAAGACTATACTGATATTATCTAGACTTAGAAGAGGGAGGAGACATGTTGAAGACAAGGAGGGAATGAGGGAATTTGAAAATACTGGCCAGATTTTAAAACTTTTAAAATTTTCATGAAGTAGTTGCTATGCTGTTTTTCCAAATAAATAGTAATAAAATAGAGTCAATTAATAGGTTGATGCTTAGGAGACGTATTGTAGAGCAAGTCAGGTAGGGACAAATGAGTTTCACAAACATCTATTGAGATTATCGATGATATTCTTATGGTTAGTTCATGATAACTTACAATCTTATAAGTCGGTAATACTGTATTTGAAAATTTGTTGACTGTTAGATAAGATTTAATAAAATATTTCTTTATTCTTGGAATTGATTATTCTTTTGTTAGACCCTTTGTGGGTTCATATGCTGCTACAGATGCATAAATGAAGATTCTGTAGAGTTAACTATAGTTTTATATTCTTTTTAGAGTAAATGAGATGAAATCATATTAAACAATCTAGAGACATTGGGAAAAATTTCCATTTATGAGTCTTAAAACAGAAAATTGATGACATACCCTCTGGAAGCTGAGTCAACTCTTATGACTAGTCTTAGGATATGTCTTTTTCTAAGTTTCAAAGGTCTTTGATTTTTTTAGTAATTTTTCTTGATCCAATGATATATTACATTTATATCAGCTTTTTATCAAATAATCTAAATTTCTTAACTATTTTAGGTAGATTGAGGTTCAGTGAATTAGTGAATGAATCAGAGTCCATATATAATGAAATAGTAAGACAGGGGTCCTCACTTCAGAATGCTTATAATTTGGTTGAGGAAATCACATATATTAATATGATGTTAAGTAATAGAGATAAAAAGTTTGTAATTAACTTTTTTAGTGATTTTTTTTATTAGTAAAATTTAAAATATATTTTTCCAAAGTAAGCTTTAGAATTTGATTTTGGTAATAATATATGCACCAAATCTAATGCCGTATGCCCCCTCTCCCCTGCCCACCGTTTGGGAGTTGAATGTGCCCTTCAGGAAGATTCGCAAGTCTCAGGTCAACTTAATGGAGGATGGGGGATGATTTATGTAGAGAGATGCCAGTGAAATTGTCAAACTCTAAATTTCTAAACAAACAAGTTACTTGTAAGGAGAAGGAGGAGGAGCAGAGACTTAGACTAGTGAAATACTTCTGCAACACTAGTAATGAGAAGACTTTGGAACAATGTCTGTAAACTATTGAGAGAAAAATGACTACAGACCAAAACTCGTATGCGAAGAAACAAAGAATGTCAAGCCAGGAAAAAGAAATTTTTTGAAATGCAAGAAATACCAACTGTGGACCTCACATACTATGGAATATACTTGAAACATTTTCCCAGATGAAAATTGAAGCATAACAAAGTTCTAAGGACAAAAGAAGCAGATGAGAGTAGGAAACAAGTGCAGTTGAACAGTAAACTTGTACACTGTCTTAAGTTCTTAAACCTAAATGGATGGAGCTGGTCAAAACCTTTGCTCTGCCTTTGTGTTTCTTTCCACCTCACCCCAATCCAACCCCCACCCCATCTCCCCCAGGCTTCTTAACTGTCAGTTTCAGTGGACTTTCAGGAAGGAGGTGAGATTGCAAGCATGTGTTTAGCCTAACATCTTGAACTGGAAAATCTTTTTTAAAAAGTGCTGTGTTTCCTACCAGAGAAGATTCCTGCGAACAGTTGTTAGTCAGGGCTCATATTACAAGCGACAGAAACCAGCAATGGCAGATTTAAACAAAAAAGGAATCCACTGACAGGGGAGTGACTCATAGGGTCCTTGGGAAGGCTGGAGAGCCCAGTTGACTGGCTGGAAATTGACAAAACTTACTTTGCAGTGAGAGCACTGTATCTTCATTTAGAAGTAAATTGCCCTTTTCTTCTCTTTTCAAATGTAGGTTATATATTTGGGGAGAACTCCAGAAGAAGCATATAGAACATTACTCTTTGGAGAGACATCCTATATTCCTTTCAGGTAAATATAAGAATGATGTGGTAGATTCATCTAATCAGTTCCTTTCCAGAAATATGTTGGTAGTTGTTTCTGAAAAAAGAAGATCTGGTAAATAGTCATTTTAGGGTGGGTGCAAATGACACCACAGATCCATGTTCCTCAACAGTGACACTACTGACAGATTGTCATGGGAGGCTGTCTTGTGCGTTGTAGGATGTTTAGCAGTATCCCCAGCTTCTGCCCAGTAACACTGACAGGGAAAAACCGAGCGCCCTGACGCAGCCGCTGGCTGCCTCCCCACCGCTCCGCATCCCCACCATCTGGCAGGCGCTGCAAGGGGCGGCTGTCACGGGCAGGTGTGCACTGCGGGGGCCCAGCCTGGCGTGTCAACGCCTGCAGTCCGTCCGGCCCAGGGTGCTGGGCTGCCTGCTCCCGTCCTCCCTTGGAGCTGGCTGCGTGATCTTGATTGGATACTTTTTGAATCCCACTGTTGCTGGTTGGATGTTAAAGCTTGTTGCTGATTGGATGCTTTTTGAGTCCTCCACAAATGCCTCCAGACATTGCCAAATGCACCGCCTCCCTGCGCCCCCTAAGTGGCAGTGGGGGATGGGGAGCAAACTCTCCCCTGCTTGAGAACAGCCACTGGTGAAAACTAGGCTTTATAATCAGGTGAGAATTACTAAAAACTACCACTGAGGAGTTTGGTTCCTGAGGAGTTAAGAAATACATTTTCCCAATAATCAGTAGTTATTTTCTGGGACAAAAAAAAATGAATCTCTTTTTTCCAGGGACACAGCCAGCAGAGATAGAGGGTGAGGTTGCTAATGTAGTACCACTTCCAGAAAAACCAGCCAAACAGCTGTGTCGTAGAGGTGGTAGGTAGTGATGTCTTTACAGGAATGACTCCTCTTTAACTTGCTATGTGATTGTGTTGAAGGTATTTTGAAAAAACTTTTCTCTTCTGTAAATCAAGTTAACTTCTAAAAGTCTCTCTACTTATTTATCAAAATATTTGACTGTGCTGTGTAATCTAAATACTTGTGTGGTGCTCTAAGGGGTAATAAATGTATGAAATAATGATACTTATTGTGTAGTTTATTGATAATTTCAAATACCGCATTGTTCTTCTATTTACAAATTAGTTGATTGTTTTAGGATTGTTACATATACCTCGAATGCCTAATTTAATGATATGAATCATTAAATCTGACTTTGTTGTGGATGAGCTTTGGGATGCGTCTTCCTAATTTTTGGCAGAATCTCCTTTGCAAATAACTCCAGAGGACTTTCTGTGGACTTACTCCATGAAATAGAGATTTGTCAGGACAATCTGAAGAATTTAGTAATATATTGCATTAAAGACTGTATATTGGCCGGGCGTGGTGGCTCACGCCTGTAATCCTAGCACTTTGGGAGGCCGAGGCGGGCGGATTGCTCAAGGTCAGGAGTTCGAAACCAGCCTGAGCGAGACCCCGTCTCTACCAAAAATAGAAATAAATTAATTGACCAACTAAAAATATATATACAAAAAAAATTAGCCGGGCATGGTGGCACATGCCTGTAGTCCCAGCTACTCGGGAGGCTGAGGCAGTAGGATCACTGAGCCCCGGAGATTGAGGTTGCTGTGAGCCAGGCTAATGCCACGGCACTCACTCTAGCCTGGGCAACAAAGTGAGACTCTGTCTGGGGAAAAAAAAAAAAAGACTGTATATTAGTGATTTAGCAAATTAGAATTGGTTTGAACCCAGTATTGCCCTTTTCTTGCTAGCTCATGGATCAGCTTAAGTATTCTGGTATTTGAGGTGGGTAGGAAGGGAAGAGGGCATCTTCTAAACTGGAGGCTGTGCCATTCTCTTCTCAACCTATAGTGTAACAGCAGCCACATACTTCCTTTAGAAGAAATGCCTGTAAATATTTGTGGTCCCTGGGTCCCAGGCACATTGGCTATCTCTTGATACATAGTGATAATTTTGTTATATAGAGCTGTTCTTTATAATAGTAATCCTTTAAAATGCCATTCTTATAGTTTTCAATACAAGGTCCTGAATTATGAATAATTTCACACCTTTTACATAATCCAAGGATCCATGGAACACTGGTGATGTGGAAAAAGTTGTTTTGCATTAATTTAAATACAGGTGCCAAAAACAGAATAAACATTACTTACTGCTATTCCTGTGTTTAGAATTATTGAAGTTTGGCATTGAGAAATGGAGTTAGTTAATTAGTTGCTTCTGGTCCCAAGAGCATCAGTAAGTAATTCTCTGAAAAATTGGACTTTCCTAGAAACCATTCAGATTTGTGAAATTTGAATCTCTTCAGTCATAGATGCCAGGTATTTGATTAACCTAAAGCAGTGTTTCTCAAAGTGTGGCCTGTGAACTGATGGCAGAGTGTGGACATTTAATTACTGGCCTATGATGAGATAAGTACAGAATATGAGAATAAGATTTTAGATATGTTTATAGTTATTCAATAGAGTAATTCTGTGTTTTTGGAATCAAATAATGAATTTGTATTGTATTTTCTATTTTGCATTTTATTTACAAAGATAAGATTATTGTGGATATGTAATAGTATAAGACCATTGTATTATTATATTTCATATTTATTGTATCTTACAAAAATATCAGCCTATCATGGACTTAAAACTGTTAATTTGGTGCTTCATTACATTTTAGTAAGTTCTGTAGAACTTACTAATTAGAAAGTAGACCAGTGAGGATTAATAAAGCCTGAGAATATTTTGATAGAAATGGCATTACATTCTTTTTTTTTTTTTTGAGACGGAGTCTCACTTTGCCCAGGCGAGAGTGCCATGAAGTCAGCCTAGCTCACAGCAACCTCAAACTCCTGGGCTCAAGCAATCCTTCTGCCTCAGCCTCCTGAGTACCTGGGACTACAGGCATACGCCACCATGCCCACCTAATTGTTTTCTATATATATGAGTTGGCCAATTAATTTCTTTCTATTTATAGTAGAGACGGGATCTCGCTCTTGCTCAGCCTGGTCTTGAACTCCTAAGCTCAGAGGATCTACTCACCTCAGCCTCCAAGAGTGCTAGGATTACAGGCATGAGCCACGGCACTTGGCCTACATTTTCTTTATCCCTGACAGGAATGTTAGAATAAATGTAACTAAAAAAATATTGCAAATGAGGTCGTGAAAGAATGACATTCATTTATAGTAAATAACTTTTTTATGTTACATACCAATATTTAACTAGATTTAATTGAACTTAGATACAATTCCTTGACTGTTGAATTTAAAAGAGTGCATATATATGATTTCTTAGTGAATTATGTTAAATATTTCTCTGTGTGTCTGGATGAAAAATAGGATAAAATGTAGTTTAACATTTTCTTGATACCTTAGGATCATTGTTATGAAGAGCATATATTTCTGTTCTCTGGTATTATCTATAATACTCTTTGTTTCTTAGTTGATTTTTTTTGCCTCTGTTTTTTATTTTCTAGAGAGTTAGTATTGCAGAGATGTTAATAGCTTGACTGTTAACTGTTGACATTAGATAGGTGGGAGTTTTGTTCTCAGCTCTGCCACTAATATCTCTGTGGTTCTTTACAAATTTGAGCTTGGTCTCCTGGTGTATAAATGGGAACAATAATAAAATCTCCCTAAAGGAGTTGTGAGGATGAAGTGACATTCTGCATATAAAACACTTGGCCCTTAGCTAACATTGACTATTCATTCCCCCATCTTTAAGTTGATGTATAACTTAAATACAATTTTAGAAAATGCTAATCTTAAGTATACAGCAAAGTTTTCCATATGTGTTTGTGACCACTACACAGTTCAAGATACAGAACATTGCCATCACCCCAGAAGATTCCCTGCTGCCCCTTTCCAGGTAGTCATCACCCCCCAACTGACGTCTACTCTGACTTCTACCAACAACATTTAGCTTTGCTTGCCTTTGAGCTTCCTGTAACTGAAATCATATGGTGTACATTTTTGGGAGCTAGCATCTGGATTTTATATACATAATGTCTATGAGCTTTATTCATGTTGTGGCAAGTATCAGTAGTTCATCCTTTTTATTGCTTTTGTAGCATTTCAGTCTATGAATATACCACAATTTATTTGTCCATTGTCCTTTTGATGGATTTTTGGATCATTCGCGGTTTTGGGCCATTAGGAATACAAGCTGTTCTGAAAGCTGCCATTTTTTAAAATTAGTATTTGACATTGTTTTGCAATTTCTAAGCAATACCTCTTTATTGATCCCATCTGGTTTTCCAAGTTTGTTAAATGATCCTAACAACAAGATGGTGTCCCCCCAACCCCCTGTCCTTAGCCACAGGTCTATATCCAGACTCAGAGTTGCTATTCTGCCTATTTGAAGAAACCTGCTTGCTCAGGTGGGAGGAAGGAGATGTGGGTATGTTTACAATTGGGAGCGTTAATGAAATAAACATGAGTGAGTAGAAAGATTCCAAGTAGTGTGATGTATGAGACAGGACTTGGGTGGATCCCAGATCAAAGCTTGTCAGATCACCCCTGACTGGAGTGGGGCTTGATTCATAGTAGGTTCTCAAAAAAATACACTGAATAAATGCTTGAAATTGTCACAAAGACTGTTCAACATGCTGTTAACTTGACCAGAAAAGAAATACGAGTAGGTTAAGAGGATAATACTGGTAGTTAACTGAGGCGACATGATTAAAATCATCAGGGTCCAATTTGAGAGTTTGCCATATTTCCATTGGTAATTTTGAGTTGGTTTAGGCTAAACTGCTTCATTTTTCTGCCTTAGCTTCTCTATCTAAAATTGTTCCTTATTCGATGAAAACACTATTTCCACAAAACAAGTGTTTGTGTTGATTCTATAGGTCAATGGTTCATAAATTTGAACATGCATCACAGTCACCTAGAGGACCTGTTCAAACACAAATTACCTGGCCCTACCCCTAGAGATTTTGGTTCAGTAAATGTGGGGTGGTGTCTGAGAATTTGCATTTCTAACAAGTTGGGGTGATCCTGATGCCGCAGGCCTGGGTACCACTGCTGAAGGTCATTGTGTTTTTTCCTCTCTGAATATTACCAATAAGCTATTGGTAACATCTTTGTCTTCTAGGTTGAAAAGAGGTTTTTTCTAGCATTTAGAAGAGAAGCTTTTCAATTCAGAAACTTACAGAACAAAAACGATGTGTTATAAACCTTGTGTCCAGTCTTCATGAAGGCTAACATAGCTCAGTAATTCTAACCAGCTCAGTCAATAGCATCAAAGACTATTTTGGCTGAAAAGGATGCCCTTCGTCTTTCTTATTGTTAATGTTGCTACAATTAACCCTTAATAAGGTTTGGGCAAGAATCAAAAGTTTAAAATATGCAATTTAATTTGTCATGCTAACATTTGTTGAATATTCTTACCACACAGTAAGAGATATTAGTGTGAAAAGCCCACCAACGCAGGCACTTAACAATGGCTCCAGTAGCAACCTTGTTCCATCTCGAACAAATGAGTAACATTCAGATAGGCACAGTTGTTTGGCATGCCTAGCTTAATCATAATTAAATTCATTTTTATCTTGCCTAATTCCAAAAAATTTTCTTATAATGGCTTAAGGTAGCCAGAAAGGGGAATGGTGGGGTGTGTCTTATTTTTGTGGGCAAATATCTTACCTGATATTAAGAGATTTGTGGTAAGATTACTGATATGTGTTGATGCAGTGTTTGGGTGGAGTTGTCAGTAAACTAATTTAAGTACTTTCTCAAGAATAGAATGATTCTGCAGAAAGTAGTTGACTCCTTAGTTCCTGTAATTTCATTGGTACTATTATTATCCCTTAAGAATCAAAAAAAAGTTATCCGGTTAAATCTTAAAGGTCCTAGCATAATGATAGAAGCAAAATGCTTATGACCTTGTGCCTAGTATTTCAAATACTACCTTGATTTCACAACATTTCTTTTCCTACTTGAAAGGAAATATATACACATACAGGCATACCTAGGTACACATACTTATATACATACATACAGACAGAATCAAAAAGCAATCTTTCATGGTAATGGTTGGTATGGTATTTTCTAGTTTAAAGAAAAATATAAATGCCTTGCCCTTTTAGGAGAGATAGGTATCATTGATTAGTTGAATTCAAGAAGGAAGCTCAGCTGACAAAACCAAAAATGATCAAGAGAGATCATTTGAAATTTAGGGAAGTAGTCATTATTGATCCAGGCCCATAAAACAGTACCTATTGGAATGAGTAGAAACTGCAGTGAAATTTTTAATCAACTTATCCGTTATTTAAAAACCAAAAGGGAAGATTTCTTTTTTTTGAGAATGTTTCTGAGTGTATGATTTTAAATTCTAGTCAGCTCTGTCTTAAGGTAAGTTTATGACAGAAAATTAAATTAACTAAGCTAAGTATTTCTGTGCTTTTGGAATTTCAGAGATGCTGCCTATGGAAGTTGCAATTTCTACATTACACTTCTTGACTGTTTTCATGCAGTAAAGAAGGTAAGTGACTTGAAGGATGCTCTTAGTGTTGTGTTGGAGAACTGTAGTCCAAGGGAGGACTAGGCCTTCTTCCCCAAAGATCTTTTTGTAAGAATTTCTCCCAAGATGTGTATGGTGACAGAGGTATTCCATTTCCCAACTAACGTTAGAGCTAACGAAACCAGGAACAGTTTATTCTGAAAATCTGAGTGCTTCTATGCATGAGTTGGGGGAAAGCCACTTAAAACACGGAGGATAGTAAGAGACTGTCATGCAATTAGATTCTAGATCCAGAATTGGTTTTGAGAATGTTGTGATTCAAAAGAAATACAAAAAGTAAATAGATGGCTGGTTTCCATGTTCTCTTTGATTTATGTATTTTGTATGTCTTTAGTCCCACCAATATTGTTTACAATAGACATCTCTCTAACATGGTACCTGTCCAATACTTCATTTTTCGTTTTTTCAGGTATTCATTTTCTAATTCAACAGAATTTGAATAGTCATTTGGTTTGTTATAAGGTTTTATATAAAATTTAAGTGGGTCACTACAGCTTTGTCAAAACTATTTGCAAGTAAGTCCTGTGTGTCATGACTGAGGCTGTCTTGACTCCAGGGAACAGCCTTTGTACCACATTCTAAATGAACAGGGCCCCCCGGGGTTAAGCAATACAGCAAGCCCTGGGATTTTCTTGAATGTCCGGGCAGCACAAAAAACTAGAATTATAAATCAGTAGCAAATCAAATAAGCTTCAGCAACATCACAGGTTTTATGTAACTTGTGTTTTTAGAGCCAGAAGGAACCCAGATTTACTTTCTTATATAATGAATCATGGTGGCTTTCTGGGAATTATATCAGAAATTTTCTGCTTTAAAATGAGAGGACTGATTAAGATATAAATTCAGAGACTGATTGGTATACCTTTTTCCCTGTATCAGGCAATGCGGTATGGGATCACAGTTTCCTTGGAGTTGAGTTCAGTTGAGTTCAGAGCTGATTGAGGTAGTTGTCACCAGCTCTGAGGCAGCTGTTATCAGGGGACTGAATGACAATAGTTAGGGGACTGAATGACAATAGTTGTAAATGGCACCTTCCAGTTGCACTCACAGCTCCTCCCAGATGGGCCCCAGGGCTAATATAATATAGGTAGGCACACTCACCTTTGAAAAGAAAAAGCTTTGGGGGTCTTGGAAATGGTCTGCTGTAATATTGTAAAGCAGTCTCTGTTGTTATTCATTGGCTTGGTTTTTTTTAATTGAGTATTGCACCTAAGGTCTAATTATATTAATAATTAGCTGGTATAATAGATGAAAGATTGTGTTTTTCACACTAAATTTAGTTTTATGTAAGGGTCAACAGCTTCTGATTTTCAATTTTAATATTTTTTATATTTAAATTTGGTTTTGAATATTATTGCATATGTAAAACATTTATCAATGTAATTTTAGTGCTATATACTACCAATAAGATCACTTTACAAAATTCAAAGGAAAAATAGAAATTGCTAGTAAACTACTTTTTATTGTATCATTCTGTTAGGAACATCTCTAGTCCAAATGTCATGAAATATACTGAGTATTTTGAGTTCAAGGAAATGAAATTTATCATGGATTTCGTTTTGGGATTAGTACTTAAATAACTGTCTTATAAAATGAAGACCTTTTGGTTGGCATTCTAGCCTCTTTGCATTTGTATTTCACTAGTAAATTTTAAAGGCTGGATTTACAAGAGCCCCGCCTTGTGAACCAAGACTACCTTGTAGATGAAGAATTCTTGCTTCCCTCCTGTCTGGCTCAGTGATCAGTGAGCCCGGAGGATGCTTCTCAGAGACTGCCAGTTCTCTGTCATTGTCTCAGGAAATAGATGTTCTGCTTATTTTGCTAGGGTACTCTGCGTGCTGCAACAGAGTGAGGCTGCATGATAGGACAGAAAATTTTTTGATATTTTCTTAAAGGAATAGGAATTTTTTTGCTCAGAATTTTGAATTTCATGTTGATATCTGAGCTGTTTTTAGTATAGGGAACATTGATCTTTTAATTCAAGACTGAAGATTTTGAAAGTGAAGGTATTGATGAAGTGTGTGGGCATTGTTTGGGATAAACTAGCCTATGTTTTTTTCCACTTTATTTAGAGACTATTGGATTGTGTGTTATCTTTGAACCCTAAACTTCTGAATCTTCAGCTATGGGTGGAGTTAATCTAGTAAGTTAGTGGGGTTACTTAACTATGTATAGATAGGATAATTGGTGAGTGAAAATAGAAAATGAAATCTTATTAAATATTGTTATAACTGATGTCCACATACTAGAAGCATTTACAAGGCACAGCCCACTTCCTTTGAAAACTATTCAATGGAAAGTAATCTAAATATAATAATGCCTTTTTGGACTGCTTCCTGATATTTATTACTAGGAAATTGGATAGGAAATTGTTTTCTTATTTGCATCTTTGTTCTTAAAAGCTTTCTTTTGGATTTTAGGCAATGCAGTATGGCTTCCTTAATTTCAACTCATTTAACCTGGATGAATATGAACACTATGAAGTAAGTCTTCAAGGATAATATTGTAAACTTCTGCCCCTCCGGCTTTATTGAGGAGACTAATTGACAAAACTTACATATATTTAATATGTACAAAGTAATGTTTTCATATATGTATACATTGTTAAATGATTACCACAGTCAAGCTAATTAACATATCCATCACTACCTTTGGTGCGTGCGATGAGAATTTAAGATCTGCTCTCTCAGTAAGTTTCAAGTGGACAATACATACATTAGATCTCTAGAACTTAATCTTATAACTGAAAGTTTCTATTCTTTGACCAGAATTTTCCCATCCTGTTTTTAACTTTTTTATTCATCTATTTTACTTACAGAAGTAATAATTTTATTCTTTAAAAAAAAAAAAGGAAAGCACTTTAGATGTTTATAGAGTAAAAAAAAAAATCATCTTCATCTTCCTACTCCTGTTTCTTGAGTCCCAGTTCTTAGTGTTGATTTCTGTATTTGATGCTTGGTTCCAGAGTGAAGGAGTGTGCACCTATGCATTCTTCATAATGTTTAGTTTAAATATTTTTAGTATTGATAACTATCATACAGTGATTAAGTGAGATACTGTTTGTAAAACCCTTAGGATAGGGTATGATGAAGTGAATAGTGATTATACATCTAATTACCTCTGGAAAATATCTTTGTTTTTATCACAAACTTTTGTTTGTATTAAGTCAGGATACTTCTGGTTGCAAGTTATAGACAGTAAGCATGAACAACTTAAATAAAAAGGGGAAAACTTTTTGGATTACGTAAATTAAAAGTCCAGGAGCAGGTGTGGCTTCAATCATGACTCTCAACCATGTATCAAAAGTTGGAATGAAGCTGGTTTTGTTCTCAGGCCAGCCCTCTCTAGTAGTGTTAAGAAATGGCCACCAGCAGCTCTGATCTGCCAGTTTGGCAAACTGATCAGAAAAGAGTAATCTTAGCTCCAGCAGAAGACCTGTGAATGCCTCTCTCAGCCTGGCTTAGACCATATGCCTATCCCTAATCAGCCTGTGTTCTTTGGCAGGGGAGAGGTATGGAATACTCTGGCCAGCCTTAATTCTCCAACCTTCCCTGGAGCCTAAGTTTCCTACGTCACCCTATCAAACCATACAGACAAAAAAATTTTTAAAGGTGGGATGAGGGGAATGGAGAGTCTAGGCAGACAAAACCATAAGTGTGTTCTGTACTTTTCAACATAGTGTATTTTTTTAAGAGAATAAATAATTGGATTCTGTGGCTTTATCCTTTATGTAGATAATAAGTAAGATGCTGTGCTAAAGGCCTTGTCCAGCCAAGAACAGTTTTGTAGACTCTTGTCTATTTACCCTTCTGTAGTTATCTTGAGCAGACTTTCTCTCTATGCTGGAGAGAAAGTCCTTAGCACTTCACACAGTAGTATCTTGAATCCTCAGACAACTCTTTTTTTCCACTATCAATTTTTAAAGTAATTGTTATTTCAAACTTTTAAGTATAACTGAACTATTTTATTGATGAATTGAGTTAATAAGGACAATTAGTTGTTGATATGATGTACCAAAGATGTAAAAGCATATTACAGGATTCATTACAGCCTATCTTTACTTCTCTGAAATAGCAGTCCATTGCTAAAGTAAGATATATATTCAACTATCATCTTACAATAATTTAGCATGACTAAATTGTTAATACCTCTTGGGGCTTTTTTATTTAATAAAATTAAACATTTAAAATAAAATACTTTCTCTATTTAGGTATGCAAAACGACTAAAAACACCAGTTGGTGTTTGTTCCTTCGGTGTAGCTCAGTGGGTGATAAATCACTTTCCTCTTTCTGCTGTAGAAATTGGAGGATCTGGGTTGGGCGAGTAGCAGGAGCACACCCACAAGTGTTTTTATGTCCAGTGAAACCGCATCGATACACAGGGAAGTGCTTAGGTAGCTCGCAGACAAGTTTCGTTTAGCCTATACAGTGTAATTAGAAATTTAAAGTTAGTGTATTTTGTTGATTCCATGGTCCCCATTTTTTCCGTTTTAACTTCTCTGAATTCAGGATGTATCTTAATCTGTGATGCCAGCAATTCAATGAAATCTGGTTGTTGCCAGTGTCTAATTACAGGTTTCGTATTAAAAAATACAGATTTTTTATTTCACTTCAAAAACTGAACATCTGGCAACATTTGTCTTCATTCCTGCATAGATCTTTTATCATGCAACATAGGCACATCAGTTCCCCGAGTTGATAATTAAATCAAGTAAACTGGTTTTGGGTGACCTGCCTGTGCCTTGTAGATGTTCAAGAAACTCGGTTTATTTCTTAGTCCTTTTTTGGTATACATATAAACACCTGAGTTGCAAAGCTAATTTATCTGGATTTTTGTGTATCACTAATTCTCTTCTTCTCTACTATCAAAAGTCTCCTACTTTCTGATTAAAAGTCTCTGTTATCCATTTCATTAAAAGATATGTTTCTATTGTTGTTAAATTTGAACTATATTTATGTTATAATTGGTAACTCAATCTAAAGGACTTAATAACAGGAAGTAACCTGTTTTTCATATCAGTTTATACTTACGTTTTTTTTGTAGGGGCATACTGTGATCTCAGTGTACTTCTAATTTTGAGTTTATCGGTGGGTTTAGTGAGATTTTTTGATTGGTCTCTTTATTAAATAGTTAGAAAAATGATGGAAAGGTGTGCCTCTATAAATAGAAAAGTATATATTTGAGAAGCCAGAAGCCTAAATAGTTTTTTCTCCTTTGTTCAAAGAGTTACGATTGTTCCTATTGGAAACCAGGTAAGAGATTCAGAAAACAGGGTAGTTTCCAGATACCTCAAACTGGAAAAGTTTGAGAACTTACTCAGATAAAATAACCAACTATTTAGTATATTTGGATAGCATCAGTTGGTTCTGTTTTCCAAGGGCTGACTACTCTAGAAAAGAAACAATGTTAAAAGAAGGTTATTAGACCCTATTATTAGGGACTAATTCTTCCTTGTTGCAGGGCAAATTTTAGATTCCTGTCTCATGGTCATGTATAAACAGATTTTCTGCTAAAGCAAGTAGATTTCAAGTCCATCAGAGACTCAATATTGAGCAGTGAGGTAGGGAGGAGATTAAGTCTAAAAATGAATTGTGCTGATCTTCCCTTTGCAGAAAGCAGAAAATGGAGATTTAAATTGGATAATACCAGACCGATTTATTGCCTTCTGTGGACCTCATACAAGATGCAGACTTGAAAGTGGTATGCAAAACTATGGAGCCAGTATAGTTTTGTTATTGAAAGTATCCATCCAGTATTTTCTTTTGAAAGAGGCTGCAGAGTTAAACCAAGCTTGGCTAAGTTTTAGTTATTTAAGCATACTTGGTCATGTCAGTACATCATTCTACCTGCATTTTAACTTTTGTTTTATTTTGTTTTTTACAGTTACAATCAAATTGGTATTCAATCCCCAGTCTAGATTCTGTCTTCACCCAATTACAGGTGAAACTATTATTTTCTTTCTGCATTTACAATATCTGGTGCATTTCTTTATGTAGGTTATCAACAACATTCTCCTGAGACTTATATTCCATATTTTAAGAATCACAATGTTACTACCGTTATTCGTCTGAATAAAAGGATGTATGATGCTAAGCGCTTTGTGGATGCTGGTTTCGATCACCATGATCTTTTCTTTGCGGATGGCAGTACCCCTACTGATGCCATTGTCAAAGAATTTCTGGATATTTGTGAAAATGCTGAGGGTGCCATTGCAGTACATTGTAAAGGTATGTTCCTAGGGTTAGTTAAAGAATAGTATACATGTATGAATATATGTGTAAAAACACACCATACTCATTTAGATTACCTATTAGGACACATGAAACTACCTTTATTTTTTTAAAGAATGCTTTTAAAACCCTAATTTATAGCTTAGTGTGGTGGTGCGCACCTATAGTGCCAACTACTTGGGACACTGAGACAGGAGGGTAACTTTAACCCAAGAGTTTGGGGTTACAATAAGCTATGGTCGTGCCACTGTACTCCAGCCTGGGCAATAGAGCCAGACTCTGTCTCTAAAAAATAAATAAATAAAAACTTAGAAAATAAAAATAAAACCCTAATTTCAATAAGAAATATAATAAATTATTTTCATAAGTAACCCTACAAAGGCTTATCACATTGAAATACATTCATTTATTCATCAAATATCTGTTAAGTGCCTACTATATGGTAAGTTCTAGGATACATCAGTGAGTAGAGCATACCCCAAGAGCTTGTCTTTATGGAGACTATATTCTTCTTTTTTTTTATTTAAAAAATTTTTAGTTATTATAGGAACATAATAGTTGTATATCTTTATGGGGTACCTGTGATTTTTGATATAGGCATATGATGTGAATTAATCAAGTCAGGGTAATTGGAGTATCTGTCACCTCAGGCATTTAACATTTCTCTGTGTTAGAAGCATTCCAATTCTACTTAGTTATTTTAAAGTATACCCTAACCTATTGTTGATTATAGTCACTTTTTTGTGCTGTCAAATATTGTTCATTCTATTCTAACTATATTTTTGCACCCATTAACCATCCTTTCTTTATCCCCCTCTCCTTTTTACCTTCCCATTCCTGGTAACCATCATTCTACTCTGTCTCTATGATATTGATTGGTTTTAATATTTAGTTCTTACATATGAATAAGAACATAGGAGATTTGTCTTTCTATAGAGACTATTCTAACAAGTTGCTGTGTTTTCAGCATTTATAACAGTGCCCGTTAATAAATACTTTTTACATAGATGAATGACTGTGCAAATAATATAAGTTGTTATATGACATTTCCAGAAATTAAGACACGGTATGAATGGAATAGGATTTATTTAACTCTTCTTCTCTTGTTAGATAGTTAATTAAGCAGACAAGAAATATATTTTCATTAAGAAAATCCACCAAACCCTGGGGAAGGGGGAGATCCTGACCTCTGGAGTTACAACTGTATTTGTAGTTACAAATAAGATATAAGTACAATTAGAATGTTCAGATATTCAGTTTTCAGTGAAAAAATCACAAAGCATACAGAAACAGGAAAGTACAGCCTATTGAAAGGAAAAAAATAAATCAACCAAAACTGTCACTGAGAAAGACCAGATGGTAGACTTATTAGACAAAGAATTTAAGACAATTATCTTAAACATGCTCAAGGAGTTAAAAGAAAATATGGAAAAAGTCAAGGAAATGATGTATGAACTAAATGGAAAAAGGTAGAAAGCATAAAAGTGAACAAAAAAGAAATAGAAATGAAGTATACAATTACTGGAATGAAGAATTCACTGGAGGGATTCATGTAGAGTTGAGCAGGCAGAAGAAAGAAAGAACTGGATAATCTAGATGAAATGGACAAATTCCTAGATAAACAAAACCTAGGACTAGATTACGAAGAAACAAAAAATCTGAATGGACCCTTAACTAATAAGAAGATTGAATCAGTAATCCAAAACCTCCTGACAGAGCAAAACCCTGGACATGATGGCATCAATGATTGTACCAAACATTTAATGAAGCTTTATCACCAGTGCTTCTCAAACTCTTTCACAAAGTTGAAGAGAAAAGAACACTTCCTCACTCATTGTGTAAAGCCAGAATTACCCTGATACCAAGGACAAATAAAGACACTATAAGAGAAGAAAACTACAGGCCAGTATCCCGTATCCATTAAGAATGTTGATGCAAAAATCCTGAACAAAATACTTGCAAAGAATTCAGTGGCTTAGTAAAAAGGATTATACATGATGACCAAGTGGGATTTATCCCTGGACTGCAAGAATGGTTCAACATATGAAAGAAATCAGTGTAATGCAGCACATTAAGGACAAAAACCACATGATCATCTCAATGCAGAAAAGCACTTGACAAAATTCAATACCATTTTTTGATAAAAACACTCAAACTAGGAATAGAAGGAAATTACCTCAACATAGTAAAAGCCATGTATAAAAAGCCAACAGCTAATATCATACTGAATGGTGAAAGACTGAAACCTTTTCCTCTAAGATGAGTAACAAGACAAGGATGCCCAGCTTTGCAGCTTTTACTTGACATAGTATTAGAAGTTCTAGCCAGAGCAATTCAGCAAAAAAAAAGAAATAAAAGACATTCAAATTGAAGTGGAAGAAGTAAAATTATCTCTGTTCAAAGATGATAATTATATGTAAAAATCCCTAAAGATTCCACATAAAAAAACCTGTTGGAACTAGTGAATGAATTCAGCAAAGTAGCAGGTTTGTTAATGCTTTAGCAAAGTAGCTGTACAAGGTTAACAGGTAAAAATCAATTATGTTTCTATGCCTTAACAATGAACAATCTGAAAAAGATATTAAGAAAACAATTCCATGTACAATAGCATCAAAAAATAAAATATTTAGAAATTACCTAAGGAGATGAAAGACTTACATAAGACATTTTTGAGAAAAATTAAAGAAAGCATAAATAAATGGAAAGACATCTCATGTTCATTAATTGGGTGACTTCATATTGTTAACATGTCAGTACTACTCAAAGGGATGTACAGACTCAATACAATCCCTATCAGAATCCTCACATTTTTTGCAGAAGTAAAAATATCCTAAAATTTATATGGAATCTAAAGTGATACTGAGTAACCAAAACAATTTTGAAAAATAAGAACAAGATTGGAGGACTCACCTTTTTTTATTTCAAAACTTTTAGTACAAAGCCACATCAATCAAGACAGCATAATACTAGCATAATGACAAATACATAGACCAGTTGGGTAGAATAGAGAGCCCAGAAACAAATCCTTATGGATGTGGTCAAATGATTTTCAAGAAGGGTGCAAAAACCACTTGATGGGGAAAGGACAGTCTTTTCAATAAGTGGTGCTGGGAAAACTTGATATCCTTTTGCAGAAGAATGAGGTTGGACCATTACATATCACCATATACAAATATTCATTCAAAATGGATGAAAGACCTAAAATTATAAAACTCCTAGAAAAAAACATAGAGGGAAAGCTTTATGACATTAGATTTGGCAGTAATATGACACCAGAAACAGATATAAAAGAAAGAATAGACAAATTAGACTATAAAAATGTAAAAGTTTTGCACATCAAAGGATACTATCAACAGAATAACAAGGTAACCTAGTATGGACTAGGATAACAAATGTGCAAATCACCTATCTGATAAGGAATTAGCATCCAGAAGACAGAACTCTTAAAACTCAACAACCACCACAAAACCCCAATTTAAAATGGGAAAAGGACTTGAATAGACATTTCTCCAAAGAAGATATAAAAGGGCCAATGAGCACATGAAAAGTTGCTCAGCATCACTAGTGATTAGGGAAAAACAAATCACCACCACAGTGAGCTACCACCTCACATCCCTTAGGATAGGTAATATAAAAAAAAAACCACATACACACCAGAAAATAACAAGTATTGGTGATGATGTGGAGAAATTAGAACACTTGTGTACTGCTGATGGGAATGAAAATGGTGTAGCAGCTATGGAAAATGATGTGACGGTTCCTCAAAAAATTAAAAATACAATTATATGATTCAGCAGTTCCACTTCTTGGTATATACCCAAAAAGAATTGACAGCAGGGATATGAACAGATATTTGTACACCCACATTTACAGCAGTGTTATTCCTGGTGACCAGAAGGTAGAAGCAATCCATTGTCCGCCAGTGGATAAATGGATAAACAAATTGCATTGTACACATATAACAGAATATTGTGCAGTGCAGCCTTAAAAAATGAAGAAAATTTTGACACATGCTGCTATATATCTGGGGTGAACCTTGAAAACATTATGCTAAGTTAAGTCTGCTAGTCAGAAAAGGACAAATGTTACATGATTCCACTCATGAGGTAATCAAATGAGAGAAAGTAATATGGTGGATTGCCAGAGGCTGAGGGGAGACGAGGACTGAGAGTTATTGTTCGTGGGTACGGAGTTTCAGTTTTGCAAAATGAAATATGCTCTGGAGTTACATGGTGGTAATGTTTGCACAACAGTGTGAATGTACTTAATGCTACTGAACTGTACACACACATATGCGCAAACTGGTTATAATGATCTCCAGAAACCAACCCTAAGGAAATGTAGGTTTCTGAATCACCTGAGATAGAATTTGAAATAACTATCTTAAAAAATTTGCAGTAAGCTAAAAGTGAACTCAAACAACTAAATGAAATCAGGAAAATAATGCATGAAGAAAAATGCTAAATTTTATGTTATATATATTTTACCCCAATTTTTTAAAATGAATAGAATCTAACATTGGTTATTTCATTTTTTTTATTATAATAAGCAGTTGAGTTTGTTCTTGGCCAAGTTGCCCCAGAGGATATTTGACAATGCCTAGAGACATTGGTTTTCACAATCTAGAGTGGGTACTATCCATCTAGTGGGTAGAGGCCAGGGGTGCTGCTGAGTGTCCCACAAGGCACAGGACCACCCCCTACAACATAGACTTGTCCAGCTGAAAATACTGGTGAGGTTGAGAAACTCTGAAATGGACTGATGACCAGTTAAAAGTCTGAAGAGGATTTGGTATGATTAGATCTTTGTTTTGGTAAGAAAAATGATGAATGTATGAAAATTGGATTGTACGGTGAGAATTGAGATTCATTAGGAAGTGTATTAGTCTGTTAGGGCATACCACAGACTGTGTGGCCTAAACAACAGAAATTTATTTTCTCACAGTTCTGGAGACTACAAGTTTAAGATCCGGATACCGGCAGGGTTGGTTTCTGGTGGGGCCTTACTTCTTGGCTTGTAGATAGCTGCCTTTCTTCGTGTCTTCATGTGGTTTTTTTTCTCTGTGTGCCCTCATTCTTGGTATTTCTCCCTTTTCTTATAAGGAATCCTATTGGATTAGAGCCCCACCCTGATGACCTCATTTAACCTCAATAACCTCCTTTAAGGCCCTATTTCCAAATATGGACACATTGTGAGTTAGAACATCAACATGGATTTGGGAGGGTCAGGTGGGACACAATTTAGTATATAATATTCAGCTCTCTGGACCCCCCCCTCCAAATTTATGTTCCTTTAACATTGAAAATACATTCACCCCATCTCAACTTCTCCAAAAGTCTCAACCCATTCCAACATCAACTCTAAGTTAAACATCATCTAAAATAAGCAGAGGTGAGACTTGAGGTATGATCCATCCTGAGGCAGAATTTCTCCCCAGCTGTGAACCTGGAAAACCAGACAGGTTATGTGCTTTCAAGGTGTAATTGCAGGACAGGCATAGTATAGACATTCTCATTCCAGAAAGGAGAAATCAGAAAGAAGAAAGGGGTTACGTTCCTAATCAAGTCTAAAATCTAGGAAGGCAAATGCCATTAGATCTTTAGTCTAGAGAATAAGCCTCTTTGGCTCGATGCTCTTTCCTCTAGGGTGGTGACTTTTTCCTCTATGCCATGGTCAGGGGCAGCCTGGCTCACTGTAGCCGGTGGAGCTGGCCCCACCCTATGAAACCCAGAAGTAGACAGCCTTGCCCCTGGGCCCATGTACTATGTCTTTGTGGCCGTGGAGAGCCCTGTGGATCTCTGAATTGCCTTTGGGATCATGCTTCCTTTTCATGAAGGACAAGGCATATATGCACCCAGGTAGCTCTATTGTCAGAAGTCCAAAAGCCTTTAGTTCATTCCATGTCTGTCCTGTTTCATCCAAACTGGCAGTGTCTCTGCTAGTATAATCCCATCTCTGTTCCTGGCTTCTGCCGAGATGGTGATTAAATCCATGAGTAATCTCTTTATGGTATGATTGTCCAGCCTCACACTCGATGCTCTCTCCAGAACATGCTTGCTTAATTTTTTTGCAGCATGTACAGGCTGAAAATTTTCTAAATTTTTATTAGTTCCTGGTTCCCTTTTGCTAAACAGTTCTTCTTCAATTCCTCCTCTCTCTCCTCTTACGTTTTACTTTAATCAGTAAGGGGAAACCATGCTGTACCTTCAACATTTTCCTTACAAATCTCCTCTGCTAAACCTCCAAGGTTGTCACTCACAAATTCTGCTTACCATAAAAGACTAGAACACAATGTAGTCAATTTCTTTGCTACTTTATCATGAGGATTGCCTTTCCTCCAGTTTTGAATAACACATTCCACATTTCCATCTGAGACTGCACCAGGATCATCTTTCATGTCAACAGTCCTCTCAAGACAGTCGAGGCTTTTTCCTACACGTGTCTCAAAACTCAGCCTCTACCAATTTCAAAGCTACTTCTCCATTTTTACATGTTTGTTATAGCAGTGCCCGCATGATCCAAATCTGTATTAGTGAGGCTTCTCCAGAGAAAGGAAACCAACAGGATGCTTATATGTGGGAGATTTATTTAAAGAAATGGGCTCATGCAAATATGGAGTCTGGTGAGTTCAAAATAGGCACTCTGAGCTGGCATCCTGGAGCCCCAGGAGAGGTGGTGCAGATGAAGTCTGGAGTTTGTCTGCCGAAGAATGCCCTCTTGCTTGGGAGGGTTGGTACTTTTGTTCTGTTCAGGCCTGATTGGATGACCCGAATTATGGAGGGCAGCATGCTTACTGGATGCTCACCAATTTCAATGCTAATGTCATCCAAAACCTCCCTCCAGGTTGACACATAAATTTAACCCTCACAGGAGGTAATGATAATAGTCTAGGTAATAATAGTCTAGAGCAGGGGTCCTCAAACTTTTTAAACAGGTGCCAGTTCACTGTCCCTCAGACCGTTGGAAGGCTGGACTATAGTTTAAAAAAAACCATGAACAAATTCCCATGCACACTGCACATATCTTATTTTAAAGCAAAAAAACAAATGGGCAAAAACACCCACATGTGGCCCATGGGCCATAGTTTTAGGACGCCTGGTCTAGAGGAAAGGAGAACAGGACCAAGAGTTTATTAAAAAAATCTGAGTGAAAATGTGTATAACAGAAGAGTAGAAGATTCAGTTGGATGTGGGAGTAAGTGCAGGATTTTGAGCTTTTGATTTTGGAAAGATGGTGGTGCCATTTTCCCAAAACACCCAGGGCAGAAAACATTGCACTTACTGTGAATCATGCTCAGAGGATGATTCTCAGTCTCAGCTACAATAGCATGCCCTGGGGGATTTTAGAAGTCTCTGTGTCCAGGCTGCACTGCCTACCCATTAGATCTGCATTCTGGGCATGAGAGTGGGCACCAGTATATTTAAAACTCTGCAGGTGATTCCAGTATGTAACCAGCCTTGAGAACCACTGTCGAGGAACACAGAATCGTGGGAAGCCTTTTAAAAAAATGCTACCAGTCCAACAAAATTCTAGAGTACATGAAACCAGGTTTCATTGATTTCTTTTCCTAGCCGGCCTTGGTCGCACAGGCACTCTGATAGCCTGCTACATCATGAAGCATTACAAGATGACAGCAGCCGAGACCATTGCATGGATCAGGATCTGTAGACCTGGCTCCGTGATTGGGCCTCAGCAACAATTTTTGGTGACGTAAGTAGACAGAAGGCTTTTACAATTCTTCAGGGAACATGGGGGTCTGGAAACCGTTGGGAAGTGGACTTTTCCTTACTCTCCAGTAATAACAGTCTGGGAGGAAATAGTTGTTTGTATATCTTTCTGGAAAGCTGTATTTTGATGTCATTTAAATGCTCTAGGAAACAATCAAGCCTCTGGCTGGAAGGTGACTATTTTCATCAAAAGTTAAGGGGGCAGGAGAATGGACAACACGGAGCAGCCTTTTCCAGACTCCTCTCTGGTGTTGATGACATTTCAATAAATGGGGTCCGGAACCAAGACAAGCCAGAACCCGAACCGGTAATCACACCATCCTGGTCACGCTGTTGTTATTGCTTTAAATGCTGTTGAGAACCTTTTAGGGCGTGGAGAAAACTAGGTGAAAATAATAAAGCACATTTTGAGGGACTATCGTCACACAGTTTTTTATATTTATAACCCCGTCTAGGAACTTTTTACTCAAAATAGTTAAAACAAGGTAGTGTGTCTGTAAAACTGGCACAGGTAGGAAAAAGAGGTCTGTGAAGTCAGCTCTTAGGTAGACTTAGGTGTTCCTGGAGCCCTCACCCCTTGTTCCCATTTCACAACAGCTAATACATGGAGAACTTTTAAAGAACCAAGAATTTAGGAGGTAGCAGTACTAAGGCGTTGGTAAGTGGATTGTGAAATTTTAAATAGAATGTTTTTATAATTGCAAGCCCATATGCCTCTTCACTATCTGTATGTTTTATAACAAGAGTGCTATTGGGTTCTGTGTAAGTCAACTCCATTGTCTTGAAATGTGACCTGTAGCTTGATTTCGAAAGGAGAAATATACTTTAGGGTTCTGCAGAAACTTGAAGTGGCTGTACATGTTTACATGTGTGTTTATATGGATAAGTAGCCCCTATGTTTTGCTGCATTAATAAATGCAACTTCAATCATTAGCTCAGTGTTTTTTTACTTAACACAGTACAGTGATGACGATGAAATCAATGGAGTGACACAAGGTGATAGACTTCGGGCCCTGAAAAGCAGAAGACAATCAAAAACAAACGCTATTCCCCTCACGTGAGTCTGGTTTCCTTTGTAGTGGTTGATGATATTTAAGATGTGTGGGGTCCTTTGTGAGCATTTTTTTCCTGTATATTTTTTTTCCCTAGTTGGATGTCCATTATGTTATTTTGAAATGATGATGATATTTGAAACACAGGGGTGCTGGCCTCGGAAGCTCTCAGTTGTCCTTTGTTTATCTGTGTCCTCTATTGTATATAACCTCAGGAGCCTTTGTAGGTGGAGGGGCGACATTAGGAATGCTTTTTCTCCTCAGATAATCAGCATGGGACATCCTCCGGAGAGACAGCAGATGTACAGCCCAGAATAACAAACTTGTCCATAGTTATTAAAATGGTGAATGTCTTTAAATTTGCCAGATTTCAGATAATTTGTTTTAATATGGTAGACTTTAGTGCGACATACTGGCTTAATGGCACTATATTGTTTTGGGGCAACTGTGAACTGGTCTAAAATATATTTTTGTATTTTTTTAAATTTGGAGATTATTTTCAAATTATAGAGGAAGGTTCGGCATGAGAATAGGAAGTATTTTAGTTATGGAATGTATATATGTCCACATGTATTTTCTTGTAGTTTGGGCTCAACCTCATGGAACATCCAGAATTGTTGGAAAAATACATAGGATCAAAATACATGGCCATTATACTTTTTTCTAGGCTGTTCTCTAGTAGATGCTCCCACTTTTGCCATGGGATTTCTTCTTTCTGGTTACCTCCCTTTTTATTATGGCACACCAAATTCCCAGCCCTCCTTTTTTATGGAGGTGGTGATGGAGAGAGATCATTTTATTCAGTAAGCATCTTGTAATATGGTCAGGAATTGATGATATAATCAGTCATTTATATTGGCAGAGATCAGGCTTTGTTTTTAATTAAAAGTGGTTCTTCACTGGTATCTCTTCATAATTTAAAAATTCTAAGGTAGAATTACATATAAGTGTGTGTCGTCATGGATTGCTCGCCTGTGAAGTTCTTAAACGACCCAAAGCAAAGAATCGAGTTTTCCAATATTAAGTGCCTTGTGAATATAGGGCATCAATTTTGACTGCAGGCATTTAGTAAGCCGCCTTTTGCAGCTTAGTGGTGCTTCAGTCAACCAGACTGCTTTACGAATGGTGCCTTTTTTAGCTGGGCATGTTGGCACGCACATGTAGCCCCAGCTCCTCTGGAAGCTGAGGCAGGAGGATTGCTTGCTCACCAGGAGTTTGAGGTTATAGTAAGCTATGATGACACTACTCTAGCCTGGGTAACAGTGAGAGCCTGCCTCAAAAAAAAAAAAAAAAAATAACATGTCTGGGATTTGTTTAGCTCCAAAGCAGTTTTGTTTTTCATTAAAATTTTTTATCTAAGGACTTAATGGCTCTTTTTATTTAGAAATATGATAGAATCTTCTGAAACTAATTCTGGACACGAAGCAGGAGGTAGTGCCCTCAAGCAGTGCTTCTTAGACATCATTGTGCATTTGAGTCACCTGGGGCGCTTGTTAAACTACAGATTATCATGAGTGGGTCTGGGGTGGGGCAGAGAGCTGCATTTCTAGCAATCTTCCCTATGTTGCAGGTGCTGCGGGTTCAGGGACCACACTTTAAATTGCAAACCCTAGGAAACATGCTTCCGTGGGTTGCTCAGGTTTTTTATTTTTTTTTTTTTTTTTGAGACAGAGTCTCACTTTGTTGCCCAGGCTAGAGTGAGTGCCATGGCGTCAGCCTAGCTCACAGCAACCTCAAACTCCTGGGCTTGAGTGATCCTTCTGCCTCAGCCTCCCGAGTAGCTGGGACTACAGGCATGCGCCACCATGCCCGGCTAATTTTTTATGTATATATCAGTTGGCCAATTAATTTCTTTCTATTTATAGTAGAGACGGGGTCTCGCTCTTGCTCAGGCTGGTTTTGAACTCCTGACCTTGAGCAATCCGCCCGCCTCGGCCTCCCAAGAGCTAGGATTACAGGCGTGAGCCACAGCGCCCGGCCCCAGGTTTTTTATTTTATTTTTCAGAATCTGCATCATCAGCTTTTTTTCTCAGTATTTTGATGCTTTTTGTTCAAAAGTCAAGTTGGGAGTCAGGGGATGCTAATTCTGCTTAGTCAGAGGTTGTTCTTATTAAATAGGGCTTATTTCCTGTAGTCACTCTCTAAGTCTGTGGTCCCCCAAGAATATGTTTTCTGAAGAGTTCTGATCACTTGACGCTCATTTCCAAAGAGTCAAGACCTAGTGACAGAGTGAGACACTTTATCTGAAAGAAAGAGAGAGAGAGAGAGGGGGGGAGGGAGAGGGAGAGAGAGAGAACAGTACTTGCAAGAAGGGAAGTTTGTGAGAAATATACAAATACAGGTGATTCTTATGAGAAAGGTGTAGTATATAAAATGTTATTCCAAATTATTGGTTTCTCTTTTATAAATGGTTAATATTTGGGGAGAGTTAAAGTTTTAAGAAATTATAAAAAATAGCTTGTCTGATCCTGATTACTGAGACAGTAAATCTCATAGCACCATGACATTGATCTGATCTTCAGAACTTGATGGCAAGTATATCATCTATGCTAAAGTGGATATAACTTGAGCCATGCTGCCTATCCTTCTGTGTACTGATCATTTCTGCTAGGTTTGTTCATGTTAAATGAAACATGAAGAGTCGAGTTGCATCCTGATGGGAATAAGGTAAAAATGGAGACATAATTAGCCTGGAAACATCAGTGAAGTCTCCCTTAACGGTGCAGTAGAAATGGGAGTATGTTTCAGCAATGGAAAATAATTCTTAGACCATGAGCTTTACTAGAGGAGCAAATAAAAATCTGGAATGCAGACACCTGGACATTGAAGCCATTCTGCCTTTAAGATAACAGTTGAATCAGTAACTGGAATGAAGGTTGGGATATGTAGGAAGATTCTTTATTGCTCGTAGGCCATTTATTCTATTCCATTTAAATATTAAGCCCCTGTAATCTTAATATTAGTAGATTTGGTATTTTTGTGGAAAGCTGGTGCAGGTATAACTTGTAGGATGAGGTAGATTTTAACTTGAGTCCACCCTTTACCCACTGTATCAGGTGCCTGGCATGTAGCTCTTAATTATGTTGATGATGAGGTCAACAATAAAAATGACAGAGTAAGCTAAGTCAGTGCTTGCCACCTTGATCAGTCCACAAGAAATGCTCAGTGGGGCCTTTTGTATTTGGTCACAGATGTTAGACTAGTTGGAAGGAGCTATCATCCTTCCCAATGCAAGGAGGAGATTTCCTTCCTTCTGTGCTAGAACCCAGGCCAGTGGATTACCACCAAGCTAAAAGCCAATTTGTATTGCTTGAGGGAAATGAACTGGGAAAACAACTGAGGAAAAACGCATAGTATGAATACAAAAGTGAAACTTAACCCCTTTTGTGTTACTTGGGGTTGGGTGTGTCACAAGTGCAATGCTTTAGGAGTTTAGTTACACCTCCACTGAAATGTGATTGCTCTGCTGTGCTGTTTGTTTATAATTTTTATGATTGTGCCTCCTATTATCTCGTTAATTAGTCTAGAGTTTTTTTTTTCTTTTGGTTGTTTGGGTTTGCTTCCTTTTTCCCTGTGGTTTAGTTTAGTTTTTTGTGTGTGCATATCTTGTACTTTTTGAAGAACTTCAATCATAGTCTATGACCCATTTCAGTATCATAAAGTTAAATTAACATGGGGCAGTTACCCAGCTAGAGATTGAGGCTAACCTTTTATCCCAAGTTACAAACCTATTAAAACTAAAGATAGGATTTTTTGCCTCAAACACAAAGTGGCAAAACTCCACCCTTGTTTCCCACCCCCGTGCATCCCAGTTGCTGTACTGGGCCCTTGGGTGTCTAAGGTTCACATGTAGCTTTATTTGTTTATTTTGTATTATGTTATTTATTTTGGCTTCCCAATTTGAACATCTGTTCTTTCCCCTTCACCCCTTTCCAGATGTCCCCTAGCTGTGCTGACCTCTGCACTGTGTAGTGTTGTCATCTGGTGGATTGTTTGTGACTACATTCTTCCCATCCTGCTATTCTGTTTCGATGGTTTCAGAACACAGTAGCCATCAGGACCCTTTGACAGATAGCTGCTGTGTAAGTGTCCCATTCCATTTCTCCGCTGTTGCTTACTTCTGGTGCCTAGCGTGTTCTCACCATGCATGTTTTTCTCCTTGTCAGCTCCTAGCTTTGTTGGTTTGCCTATTTTCAAAGGTTCTTTTTCTGAATCTTTTCAATGAATGGATGGTGGTGGGGAGGGAGGGGTTCACCATTCCTTTTGCAAAAGGGATATTACAAATAACATAGCTTGTTTTTAAGTTGCGCTTGCTCTTAACAGATATTTTGAAATAGCATTTTATAAATAAAGACACTGAAATAGTTTCTCTTTCCTATCAATAGTATTTAGTTAGCTCGGGATAGTTGGAGTGGTTTTCTTTCACTTAATTGACTCTATAGCTTCCCTCTGGTTTTCTGTATCTTGAGAATGTCCTAGCAAAGTAAAATTTTTTCTACTGGTCTACTTTTAGTAAAGATTTGATGTTATAGCTTTGAGGTCTAATGAAGATCACTTCCTGGGTTTCCCCTCCAATTCTGCCACTGTACAATAGCTTTCTCTTAAGTCTTCTATCTATAGTATGCAGAATTTTCTACTCTGTCTCATTTCATTTCCTCTCCTTTAGGGAATACAGTAAGTACAGTTTTCAAAACTTGATGTTAAATAAAGGCAGAACATAGGCTGCCTGTTTTGGTGTGTGTTTCCATGTGACAGTCACTGCTCCCACTTTTCTCTTTTTCCTCAAAATAACCAGAATGTCTGTATTAGATTAATACAGGCAAATCTGTATTCTCTTGAGATCTTTCATCTTGAAATGAAGACCTTAACAGTGAAGAGACTTATTTTCTACAGAAGAATGTGGCAATCCCCCCACCCCTACTCCTGGTGGAGCAGCATAGTGAAGACCCCAAGCACGGAGGGTGGGCATGTCCTTCCTGTGTGCTAGACTTACCACCACCCTCTTACCTGGGCTGCATTCTTCCTTCTCTGTAACTTTTTCTTTAACTCATGTTTTAGGACTTTTCTCTTATCTCCATTTGGACTTAGAAGTTATAAAAGAATGTTATAACTGTTCCTTCCAAGATTTCTTCCAAAGTGAAATATCACTGGAACCAACTCTGGTACTTTTGTCTTTTCATTGAGTGTTTTCCTATGCCTAAGAAAAATTAAAAAATCAAGTAGCTTTCACTCTTTTCAAAATTAAGGAAAACCTGCTTATCATGTTCCTGTTTGGCATTTTCTTTAATATCTTATTAAAACAAGCTTGTTATCGCACATTCAGATATGCTATATATCTGGTATAGATTAACCTTCTCAGTGGTTTTTCTTAGTAAGCTTCAGTTTCCATGTATTATGCCTCAAGAGCATCTTACACTACATAGAATGTTTCTTCTTGAACTGTTCCAAGTGGCAAGGATGTTCTGAGTGGGTGGAGTTCTTATTGGGTGGAGTTGTCACTAGTAATACTCAGGCACTTTGTGTCTGTATTATCATTCCCAGAGTAAGTTTGAAAATGGTCTCTATCAGGCTATTTTCTTTTTAATATTCTGTGTAAGCTGTAACCTTTTGTTGTTGTTGAGACTAATGTTTACCATGGCATTTCTAGAACCAGGCAGAGTATTCAACCAGGCATAGTAGCCTACCTAATTGATTTGGAATTTACAGAAGCATAAAGCTTTTAACAGTTACAATAATGTTAATAAGTACAATCTTGGTAGTCCCCCCTCCCCATTATTTTCTTTCTAAAGAATGTTATTTGTAAGGTGATGGATTCTCATGGATACTGTCGTTGTCATTTGCCTCTGTTGGCAGATGATGTGGATGATGTAGCATCCTGATAGGTTGTTACTAGTGAAAAGCACCTGTTCCCTGCTATCCCTAGAGAAGCAGGCCACTTCAGGTTGCTGTATCAGACTCTGAGACAATGGGAAAGACACAGACAGAGGGCCCAGGACCATGATTTTGCAGCTCTGTGTGTATTAGTGGTGGACAACTAGTATACATAGTGTGTAGTCGCCCTGATGGATTCTTCTCTCGGAATTGGATGTTCTTGTTGAAGCATTTTGTGGCTTGATAGGCGAGAAACGCGGCTTTTCAGGTTTTTTGCTTTGTCGTTTTCGTGTGCCTTGAGTTGCAGATATGACTAGATCCAAAAATCTGAGAGTACTAAGGCTCCAAAGATACTGTATAGAAGAAAGTGAACTACAGTATAGGCACGAGGTAAGTAAGACAGAAGATTTTTTCAGGAGAGATGGAAAGGAGAATATCTGCTGGATATTGCTCTGAAACAGCCATGCGATTGGCTTGGTTTGGAAGGTAGAAGGCGGTGAGCACCAGGTTCCCTGTGGCAGAGGGAACACTTTACTCCCTTTTGTTAGCTTGGCCCGACTTATCAAGGTGCTTCTTGTAGGACATCAGTGATAGTATCTCAGTGTAGTTGTTGGTTTTTTTCCCCCCACTTTACTGATATGTAGCCCACAGATAAGATAACTGCTTTGCTGTCAGTGCAAATACTTGGACTCTTCCCTGGCGTAATTAATGCATTCCAAATTTCTATCATTTTCTTAAAGTTCCACAAAAACTATTAGCTTATTAAATATTATTATATTAGTTCACATTAATTTACGCTAATTTTATAGAGAAATAAATACTTTTTTTTTTTTTTTTTTTTAATACTTTTAAAGATATATTTCCTATCAGCCTCAGAATTACCACTTGATTTAGCAGTAATTTTTTGTTTTGAATAGTATTTAAACATTTCAAAAATAGTTCATTTGTGAAATCGGGACTCAGATTTCCTAAGCAGGCAATGTATTGGCTCTTATCTTTTTTCTCATATGAATGATTTTGCGATGTGGTAGTTGTCTATACTTTTGGCCATCCATGGCCTCAAATAATTTGAGAAGTAGGTGTTATATTCCAAAAAAAAAGCCAAAAGAGGTCTCATTTTCTCCACGTGTAAAAGGAGCAAATGAGGCAGATTCATGAGAACACAGGTGGCACCAGCACCAGGCCTGGGCTGCAGAAGTACCAGTGAGTGAAGCACCAGCAGTTTGTCTCCTTTTGCTTTTATTAATACAAACTTCTAGATCCAGATCCTTAACAGGGATGAATAAATATTTCCCCCTCACTTTATATAATCAGAAAGAATGTTTTAATTATTTTTCGTTTTCAGGGTAGAATTCATAAGCCAGAGTACTGGGCTCCTTTGACACTACAGGTGAATCTTCATATACTTTTTCTATTTTGTTAGAACAGTCAACATTTCAGATGACCAAACTCTAGGAGAAATGCTCAACCATGCATTGGCTAATTATCCAGGATTCCTCCGTGAGATTGAAGGCTGGTTTTGTGGGGCTTTCAGAACTCTCCCATGGACAAAGTGAAGCAGCCGTGATAGTGGCTCCTCTCTTCTCCTCCCCAAACAGCTTGAAACCACTGGCCTAGGCAGGCTCCACACTGTGCTCTGGTACAAGAAAACCCATGGGCTTTTTCGTCATGAGAAGTTGAGCATTTCACTACATGTGGAATATGCTTTGGTTTGGGTCATACTGAGATTATAGGAATTTAGTGACCTGTACTACATTTTAAGGCCCTGGCTTTGGTTATTAACCAACATGCTGCAACACAGGCAAGTGAGGCAGGACGCTCATTAGTTGTAACGGTTTCTTTTTACCCTTGTGAGCTAGCTTCTTAGAAGTTTTTATTGGCTACTTCATCTTTACGATTGATTATGAGAGAATAAAGCTTTTTAAGTCAGTGTTTTCTCTTTCAGATAAATACAAGTTGATATATATAAATGTGTGTATATATATGGTTTGCTTTTTTAGTGATTATCTCTTGAAGAAAAGAATTACGTATAAAATCTTTTGATGTTTTATGCTGGTTTCCCCAAGAGATCCTGTCTACTTATGAACAGGCTACTGTGGGCGGCCTTTATCTGAGGGTGTTCTTTTCTGATTCATGTATTTGCCTCCTGGGCAATGCCTATTCATAGGCAGCAGTTTCCTAAGATTTTTAGAGTTTAATGAAGGAAAGTTTCACAAAATGTAAGTGGTTTCACTTTCATTTTAATGGTTCTTAGAGATTTAGTAAATAGTTATAATCCAGATAAAACTCATATTTTGCTTGAACATATTTTCAGATTTTGAAACATTATATAAAATTAGTATTGATTTAAGTGTTTATTATCCATATTTTCAGCTCTGAAGAGTGAATATTGTGTAGCTGTTTCCTAAATTTATATTTCTACTCTTTAGAATTTTGAGTTTCTTAATGATGTCTTGTTTTTATGACTAGAAATCTGAGCCTCTATTTTTACCTTTGGGCACAAAAATGTGTTTAGCTGTTGTATTTCTTTGGTGTGGGAATTGCTTAAAATGCCAGGTCATTCGTTTTCCAAAAGCAAAGCACTGTGATTATCTTTGTGTAACCTTCAAAGGGAAATGAGATGCTTCATTTCAACAGGCTTTGATATAAAAATGTGTTTCAGGTATTTTTGGCAGATGTGTTCATAGAAAATCCTATCAATTCTCAGTAAAATAATTTGCTGCTCTAACGTGCAAACATGCCTTCCTCTGTCACATATTTGAAAATTGTTTCAGTGAATATAATCTTATTTTTTTCCAACTATTTCCAGAGTAATTCTTCAGTCCAGTGTTCAGAGCTGTAAAACATCTGAACCTAACAATTCTGGCAGTGCAGGCATTTCTAAAAGAACCACCAGATCTGCTTCAAGGAAAGGCAGTTTTAAAAGGTGAGAAAAGAATCCTACTTTTCTGAAAAGTTGTAAGCATTGGTTTTCCAGTTTAATCTTGTGGATCCTACTTCTGGAGAGTGACATGAAGTTAGGAGAAAATAGAGTTCCTGTGATGGGAAAGTCATCAAAAGTGTTTTACTCATTCATCAACACTGGAAGTGTGCTCTCTGGGTCATGATATTATGGGAAACCTTTTAAATTAAGAATATCCAAAGCTGTCAGAACTTGGAGGAAATCTTTCTGAGTATATCAGATCCAGCATGATGTTAGAAAATTAGCTGCAAATTAACAAGAGGGTAGAAACATGATAACTCTAGTGGGTTTGGGGACCCCCCCTCCCTAAAGACTCTCTGTCCTCTTGGCCACAGTCCACACCAAAGGGTGCTGGTTCTTCCCTGTTTATCCCACCTTTCTCCACTGCCTTCATTATGTACAGGCTTTGACAAGAACATGGACATGTTCTGTCACCAAACCAATGACTCACTGTTGTCTTTGGATACTTCTTAGGAAGTGAAGGTGGACATTTCATTCTTAAAGTATTCCAAAGACAAATCCCTAGTGAAAAAAGAGTAGATATCCCACTCACTGCTGTCCCTGGAGTGCGAGGTGGGCACCCTTTTCACGTTCTTTGCATCTCTGCCTGCTGTCGGCAGCCCAGGCAGTCCTGCTTTTGCGCTCGTGGTAATACAGATCTCTTATAATAGACCGTAGTGGCCTGAAGATAATCAGACCCAGACGTTACAGTGTCCTCTACGACTTCCCTCCCTTCTTTTTAACTTCCCTACTCCATATCTTTAAAGCTTTGGGGCCATGTACCTCATCGTCAGTGTTGGGTTTGTCCCGGTGTCCAAGCAGTCGAGTCTGTCCTGAGAAATCCTTGACACACCGAGAGCTCTGTGTGCTTTGCCCTCTAAGGAACCGTTCAGCTCTGTCATATATCCTGTTTGTGGATCTTTGGTACAACTTTACAACATACACATAGTCATGAGAATGTCACAGTGCCCGGTATGAATATCTGAGAATTTGGGGGCACTTGACTCAATGATGTTAGGATTTTAATTTTTTTCATTAGAAATGTATCAAATATTCATATTCATTTTACTCTCTGATTCCACTTGAGAAGAAATACAAAAGGTCAAAGATTTAGATACATATCAGAGTGTTATTTGTAACAGTGAGAAATAGGAAAATGGGCTAAAGATTGTTAAATTATGCCAAATGAATTGGGAGTCATGTTTTTAAAGAAAACCTGGATAAATGCTCATGAAGCCATGAGTAGAAACAGCCACACATAAAAATTCTGCAGCATAATTCTATTTTTATAAATAGATAATATATATGTATAGAAATGTGTAGATGTATAAATGTTTATAGGTACAAAAATGTATTCTACATATGTATAGAAATAAGATAAAGGAGAAATATGCCACATAACAGTTCTTCTGGTTGGTGGGACAGTTGGGGATTTCTTTTTTTCTTTCTTTCTTTTTTTATCCTTTTCTTATTTTCTAACTTTCCTACAATCACGAGGGGAAATGGGAGTATTCAAACTTTAACACTTTGAGTCAGACTATTCAAAATGGAAGTAAAAATCCTGCTGCTGCTCATAGTTAATGTGGACGTGTTCTTTTTAGGTGTGAGTGCTCAGGCTTCCCTTACAGTCTAGTGTGTCTTGCACATTTAATTCTGGTTTTTGCTTTTTTGGATTGTGCTTTTTAGGTTACAGAGGAATAGAGCCCAGGAGCCCCGAGGGAAGCTTGCCACATCACACCATCTTCCTTTGAGGAGGGTTGGCCATGGGTCAGTTTTTCCATCTAGGTCTTGTTCTTTTTCATGTCACTCTAGGGACCTAAACATGTACTGCTCAGGAGAGGTGGTTCCTGATCGCAGTGAGCACCAGTGACCATCTGCCTGAGGTCCCTGCAAGGACACTCTGAAAATTCTAAAGTAGGTTTCAGGCTGAACAGTGTGGACTGAATGTTGAAATGATCCAAAGTTTCCAGGAAACTTAGTGCTAAAAGCCTTCTTTTAAATTCCAAAATGGACTTTTCAGAGATGATTTGGAGAGCCAAAGGAATAAAGCAGTGAGAATTAATTGGATTTCACAGTTCATTTAACCATCTTCCTCTACACGGGTGTTTTTGTTTTGCCTCTTTTGGGGCTTTGGCCTATGTTCGCATCACCTTAACTGTAAGTCACTCATAGTTTACAAAAAGAAAGGCAAATAAATTACATACAGTTTCCAGGAATCGGAGGCAGCCAAGCTGTAGCCTGGAACTTTATCCTGCTGAATGCTGTTTGGTTTTGGTTGGAAGGTAATGAGGGAATTAATATATTGGTGCATAATCTCATCTGGGCACAATAGTGTGAGCTGAGATTGTTGAGTAATTTTATAGTGAATTGGAATCTTTTCTTTAAACAGAGGTACAAGAAAACCAGGACAGCCTTTCAGTGTACTTTCATCCATGCTTTCAAGGTGCCAGGCTGCTGGTCCACTTTGTTATTCCGGTTCCTTCCTGAGCCTTCTCTTGCAGGTTGATTTTGTTCTCAGTATCATCATCATCTGTGGTGCTCAGGACTTGACCTTTCATTTACACATTCTATTCTATTCTTAGAGGCTTCCAGGACGAAGACCCCACCTAAACTCACTTTGCACTGAATTGGCTCTTTTGAGTTTTGACAGTTTACTGAGAGGCTCCTCAGCTTTGAAGAGTTCTTTTTTTTTTTTTTTTTTTTTAAAGAGAAGGGGTCATGCCACAGGCTAGAGTGCAGTGGCGTCTCCTGCACCCTCGAGCTCTGGGCCTCAAGCCATCCTCCTGCCTCGGCCTCCGAGCCACTGGGACTACAGGTGGGCTACCACACCCACCTTAGAGAACTTTTTCACAAACATGTCAAAAGAGCAGTTACTTAGGGGGCTCAAAAAAATATGAATGACATCCTGAGTATTTGTTGTTGGGAAAAATGCTGCTGCGTTTCTCACGACAGATGACCATTTCCTGGTGTGTCCATTTGAACTAAGCCACACCGAAACCTTAGTCTGTGGCAGCGGCTCCGGCACAGTGACCGTGTGGTGTGACTACTGTGGCCCTCTGCCCGGGACGGTTGGCCTAGGAGCCGCTGGGCTGCGTGTGGCACTTGTCAGTCCCTTCCTCAGGGCTGACGGGGAAGATGGATGGACTAATCCACCCACCCCCACCCGTGCTTCCTGTTAGGACTACACATCCATTCTAACATTTCTCCTTCAAGAATTAATAAATGCAGTGACTCACTGGCCCCATCACACTGGCCTGTTTTTCAGTGTTCTCACATTAACTCTCTGAAGAGTTCTTAGGATGAGTCTCGAAAACTTCATCATGCCTCCAACTGAGAACTCACAGCCACCTCAGTTGCTGACTTTCACTTCACTTCATGTCATGTCGTGGCTTTTCCACCAAGTGCGTGTTTCTGTGAGCTCATGCTATTTCTTTTGGGCAGTCTTTTTCTTTTTTAATTATAACTTCTTCCATTTTCTACGAAAACTTTCATTTTTTATTCTGAGTTGTATCATTGGGAAACCATCACTTTCTGCTACAGTTGCGAAACCAACTTTGTCCATGGCTTTGGAATGTTTTGTCCCTAATTGTTCATATTGTGGGAGGGGATAAATGCTCAGGTTCTTTCCTTACACCCTAAAACCGTGAGCGTCTATGCTCATGAGCCCTTCAGCTGGGAGTAGTTTTCATTCAGGGCTTCTTTTAAGTCGCCACTTCATACCTGTCTCTGCTTCTTGACCCTCAGAGTCTCAGATCTCGGTGCCTGTTCCAGGCCTCTGGGCTCTAGGTTTTTGTTACTGCCCTTACCTCCAAAAGCACCTCAGCCTAGGAGTCCCAGAAGGCTGTCTTTTTATTCTTTATTTAAATGCTTGTTCCCTCTGATCTTTAAAAATATTAATGTCCCTTTGAAATTCCAGATATTTTCCCACTTGCCTTCACCAGCTGACCTAGACCTTTTGACTCAGGACTCTACTGGGGTCTCCAAAAACTAAACCGTCAATTCAAGCACACCTTCTCTGGTAGAGCAGCAGCTACATAATCTGAGCGAGGGTCACTTCTAGATTGTTTTTTCCGACTCTTTTCTTTTGCGTTTTTCTCTGAGAATTGCTACTGAACTGAAAGTGTCACACAATAAATCGGGGAAGGGAAGAAGAGAGGCAGGGTGAGAACCGTGCTCGGTCATTTACGAACAGAGCAGGGTCCTCGGGGTTCACGCTGCGCCGGGCGAGGGTGCCTCCTGCGCTCGGCCGGACTGGAAACCACTTAAGGTGCCAGAGCTTTTTCTGTGACCAAATCCTGGCTTTCGAAATAATCCAGTAACACTTCTTTGTCTTTTCGTTCTGTCCGCTTCTCCCACAGCCTGGTTCCTCAGCGGGAAGGAAGGAAAAGGAGTGCTTTGCAGCAAATGCCCTTTGTGGCGTTATGGTACTTTCCTTGCTCTGCTGCTTTTGCCCGCCCGTCTTTCTTAATTTTTATTTATTTTATTTTTGTTTTTATTTTCTGCAGAACTGAACCTTTTTCTGCTCTGCCTTTCTCTCCTGTTTGTCTTTACTTTATGGTTGATACTGTGCTGTCTTCTCCACAAAGTCTTTGTCATTAAAAAAAATTATACCACGTGTATACTCTTTAGCATGTCAGTATTTTTATTCTGTTGCCTTCCTTGTCTTTGATAACTGCCTGTGGGACGCTTTAAAACGTTTATGGTAAAATCCTTTTTTTTTTCCCCCTAGTCCCTCCGTTTCAAGGACTAAAACAGTCTTGCGTTAAATAAAATCCTGTGACCAGAGTTGAAGGAGGACCCTAGGAACAGAAAACTGCGACAGGACTTAGCACAATTTGAGAACAAAACAAAATTGCAAAAGCCTTAGTTGCTTTCCACCTAAGAAGTTGATTCAATGAAGAAAATGTCCACTGGAGTTGAAATAACTAATTGAGTTTGGGTACAAGTGAATGACTTGAAGAAGGACCCAACTCTCCTATAGAACCGTCTCAAGCTTAACAACAAAAATGCTGTTGTAAATTTAGTCTCAGGTGTAAATACCCTAGCTCTCTGCGCCCCGGGGGGCTGGCTGTGTGTGTGTCCCTGTGATGGCAATCATTTTAGCTGCTGGCCTCCAGAACAATTGAGGATCTCATGGAGGTTTTTTATGTATTTATTTTCTGTTCGCCCTGTGACCCAGTGTCAAAATTTATATAGATAAAAGAGGCATTACTGAAATGGTACTTTCTGTAATTTGATACTATTTGGCTTAATCATCTTCACTTTACTATTTGTAATACTGTCTTAATGTTGATTCTGTTAAGTACCCAAGCTGTTTGTCTTCCACCAAAGAGTGCTTTACTGACAAGAATCTGTGAAATCCACATTTAAACACTATTGCATGTTGTAATACTGAAGTGTGGTACTTTGGTAACCTAAAACTTGCAAGAGAATATTCATGGTAGCTTTAGAAGACTCAGGAGGAAAAACTGGCCTCAGAGTTGGAAGACTGTGACAAGTCATTCCTTTTTATGTCGTTTAGAGACTGAAGAATTGCAAGGCGGCCCGTTGTTTGGTTGCCTGGTCACACAAATTAAAATCATATTTCCTTCCACGCACGGAAGAAATACACTGTTGGTTTTTCCCCTTGGAAACGGCAATCCCAAATAATGGTGGCTTTAAAAAAAATGTTATTCCTCCTTCAGAATCTTTCTCTGTAAGTTGGATTTTTTTCCCTATGTGATTAGCCTAAGGCCATTCACACATCCTTTGATTTCAGTGACAATTATTTGCTTCTGGATTTCAGTTGTTTGTGGTAAGAAAACTCACTGTTGCCTTTGGTTAGGGAATATGACCAGTAACTCTTTGCAGAGTGCCTTCTCCCCACGCCCCCGACACACAGCGGAGTCTGTGATATACAGCAGTCACAAAGATAGAATTTGTTTGCTGCTAAAAACAATAAAAATGGGACCCCAAATAAAAGAATATTTTGCACTCACCTTGGTTCCTCCCATAGTAAGAAGTGGGTGGTTTAGTGATTGTTACGCAGTTTTTGCCTGTGCTGGTTTGGAGAAGGGAGGGACGCAGTATTTGGCGCTGGGGGCAAATGCCCTCCCAGGCCAAGAGGAATAATGTATCAGGTCAGCAGGCAGCTCCGTTTGAAGGAGCTGCCTTTTCCACAGAACTATTTAGGGATAAAATGTGGCTGGAATAAGCAGGTTAAAGTCTTTAATGCACAAAGTAACTGAAAGCAATGACTCTATTTTGGTGTTTACTCTCTTGGAGTAAAGTGTAAAACTGACGGCGAGGGTAGACGAAGATGCCGTTGTCGCAGCCACATAGCTCCTGCCCCACCGGGCACTTGGGGAGGGCGAGCATGCCCGCTTTGAAACACTAGGGGCCAGATCACAGAAAAAGAGTGGTTTTCTATCCCTGGAAATAAATAGGCACAAAAACCCACTTCTCTATGGGAAGACTGCTCTTCAATAAGATCTGGGTAGAGGAGGAACGTTCCAGTTGCTATCTTGTGCTGAAATACGAAATATTCAGACTGTGCCCGTGCACAAAGCATTGAATTCTCAGGGCAACTCTTCTTCCCCTTACACTTTTTAAGGCCACCTCCTCGGTAAATAATCCAGGTACTGGCAGTTGCGAAAGTCAAACTTCCATCTGAACCGTTGTCGGTTTGGCTTTTTATTATGTCAGAACAAGTAAATGTGCCGCCTGCCGTGGCTCTTGGTGGGCACTGCTTCCTCACAGTGAAGAAGCCACCTGGTATCTTGGCCTAGAGTAAAAAGTATGGGTGTCAGTGCGAACCACTGCTTTTTTGTTTTATCGATTGCCTTTTCATGTTGGCTGCTCAAGTTTTCAGCTAGAATTGCTGTCACTGTGGCTCTTTCTAAAAATCCCTGTATTTAACTGGCTCACTGAAATTAGTCATAGGAAACTTGTGTTTGGTAAAGAAGCATTCCTTGGAATCCCAGATGACTTGGGATAGTGCTTCACATGGCATAGCAACGGTATGAAAGGCGTGGGGAATCCAGGAAGTCTCTGGGTCTGACTGATGGAAAGTTCTTTCTGCTGTGAATGTGAGTGGACCCTCCCCACCCCTCCAGCCACCACCACCAGCTGAAACCACAAGACACCCAGAATCTTCTGGGGTTCTAACTTAGAGTCCTTGTTATAGAAGACCTTGTTGCTATGGAATAGGAAACCAGTACATGTCAGATGGAAGAAATTCCTTTTTTGAGAGCCTTAAATAACTCTGAAAATACACCAAGATAGTATCCAGTAGAATTAAAATTAGAAATGAATATTTTTAGGTGCCCTTGAAGCTTTCTGGGGACTCAAATCATAAGAGAAAGGGGCTGTCCAAAGGAAGCGTGTTTGCAAAACTGTGTTCTTGGAAGTACAGGCAGACCTGTCTCTGGCAGTGCTGAAGAGGGACTCTGAGGCGCTTGCCTGTCAGTGCAGAGGGACACCTCCTGAGGCGCCAGTGTGAGTCGCTCCTCTGCAGAATGTCTCCATTCTCAGCTTCATGCCCTTAGCCTGTCCCCCGCCCGTCCCTCCCCCGCCCTCGTAGCCCTCTCACAGGGGTGATCGCTACCTCTTTTTGTGGGCCCAAGCAGGTTTTAGAGGAGTTCCTAAGTGCCCTCACGAGGCCAGCGTGTTCGCTGTTGGAGCAGAATGCCTTCTGCATGTGTGTGACCCGAGGGCGTCCCCTTGCCTGAACCACCGTCCCTGACACACGAGCAGTGCACTCGCGTGTCCGTTCTTCATGTAGCTTCGCTCCTCCTCCTGCGCACCTGCATTTGCAGACGTAATCGTTGCACTTGGGAAAGCAGTGCTTGTCAAAAACAACTTTAAGAACATGCTCTGTTATTTCTTTAATAGTTATCTCCCACTATTAAACAGTCCTGGTGAGGCCAGCTGCCGCTCTTCCAAATCTCCACATCTGAGTATGCTCCGTGTCACTGAGTGGAAATACGACAGATGTGCTTAAAAGACTGGACAGCTGGCCTATACCGTGTAGGAAGTTACCTCCTAATCACCCAGTAGAATTCACTGTCAGCACATTGTTCACCTGATGATAGTACTGAAGTTTTATACTAATAATCTGCAGACTTTTATCCAACCTGCATTCGTGTACAGATTATTAAAAGTTTTAAATGTAACTGATTAATCAGTATTTGATCATTGTCTTGACTTTTTTATTACAATGTATATTTCTAATCATATTTTTTAAAGCCTAGAGAACTGGTTGAATGAATGTTTATTTTCCTGAAGGTATTTTTAAGATAAAGCTTCTAATGGCCTGTAAACTTTGCATATATATGTAGTTTGATACGTATTTGTCACATTTGAAAATCTTGTGTATTGTAACTGGTTTTTATATAAAATATTAAATAGTGGAAATTGTATAATTATAATAATCATGTAATTAAAACTATTAACCAAACAGCCTTTTGATTTATTGTATTCACTCACTGAGCATCCTAAGTTACGGTGGGCAGTAGTTAAAATATACAGCAGACAGAACCCAGAATCTTTATTAGTCTGCTAGGGCTGCACAGACCCAGTGGCTTAAACAACAGAAATTTATTTTCTCATAGTTCTAGAGGCTGGAAATGCAAGAACAGGGTGTCAGCAGGGTGGTTTCTCCTGAAGCCTATCCCCACGGCTTCCAGATGGATGCCTCCTCGCACGGCCTCTCCTCTGCACTGGCACATCCCTGGAGTGTCTCTGCACGCCCCGATCTGCTCTTATGAGGACACCAGTCAGATTAGACAGGGGCCCACCCTAACAGTCTCCTTTTACCTTAACCACCTCTTTAAAGGCCCTGTCTCCAAATACAATCATGTCCTGAGGGGCTGGGGTTAGGGCTTCAAGCATTTTAATTTGGGGGATCCAAGTCAACTCATCACACCTCATTTAGTGACTGTGGGGCTCCTGCTGAGAGGTCGTCCCACCCACGCCTCACCACCAGCTCACGCCATGCAGGGGTTTCTGGCTCTCTGGCGGCCACTGGGCTAAGACTCAAGTTTATCAGGCACTTGGAGTCCTGGAGGTGGTAGACTGTGGCCCCTTCTCTTCCGCTGCCGTGACCGGACCAGTCGTGAGGCTGTCCACGTCCTGACATCTGTCCAGGACGCCAGCCCCAGTGTGTGCTTTACTCGCCCTCCCTGCTGAAGGTCTCTCTCGCTGGGCAGGGTCCTAAAGGCACGATGTCCACACTTCACACGCAGCTCGTGGCTGGCACTTAGGGCCCCGTTCTGCTGAGAGCTCATCCACTGCCCCAAGGGAGCTGGGCCTTGGTGCACACTGGGGTGGGAGCTTTCAGAGTGCAGATCAGAGGGAACTTTCTCCTCTTCCCTCTCCAAACTCCTCCCACACGTGGCCCCCCAGGTGTGCCATTTGCAGGTTCTGCCCTCTGGGAGGTGATGGCCTCTGCCTGCCCCTCTGTAGTTTCCCGTGAGGACAGGGCTGGGTGCTGTGTTGTCCTCCTGACCTGTGAAGTCCCTGTGTGCTGGGAGGGGCCGGCTTGGCAGCGAGGGCCCCAACCTTGCAGGGCTTTAGATGAAACCACAAGCACACCTACGCCTGTGCCCCACCGGAGGGCCAATGTCTTGCGGGATGTGCGGCGGGCATGGGGCCCCGGCCCTGTAGATGTGTGTCTCCTTCTGTTGTCCCAAGCCACACTGCCGAGTGCCAACCCACTCCGAGGATGATTTGCTGAAGCCCTCTGCTTCCTTTTCTTAAAAAAAAATGGTAATAAGAATTCTTACCTTAGCAGTATAGCTATGTTAAATGAGATAATGCATGTGAAGTGCTTAAAACAGTATGGGACACATAGCTTTCAATAAATTAGTTTGTCATTTTAGGTAATTTTCTCTAGATAATTGGGTAAAGACATTATAGTCCCTCAGTATCTGATCTTTTTGATACCTGCAGCATAGTTTTATGCACATGTAATGGTGTAAGGATTTTAAAAGAGGTCAAACTATTTTGTCTTGAAGGGGGGTGCTAAAGTTAAGTCTCTAGAGAGTGGTTTGTTCAGGGCAAGGAATTGCGCTGGTAAGTGCATAGTGTTTGGATCAAAAGAATTATGTGTCCCTGCCTTAGCACTGGTCCCAGTGGCACTCCGGGGTGCAACTTCCACTCTGCTTTCTCTCCCGCCTTCTGTGTGTCCAAGTGCACCTGTGGGTGCCCTAGAAAGCAGCATCTTGGGAGGAATTTTCCAAAAATATAATTTTTACCTCCTGTACTATGCCATGGCTTATGTAACCGTTTTCTCCTCACTGTTGGCCACGTGGGTGGTTTCCAGCTGTTTGCTGTTAATGGCACTGCATGAATGTTCTTGCATGTAAATTCTTCCTGGGCAGTGCTGGTTATTCCCCTAGGATAAATTCTTACAGAAGGGATTCCTGGGTCAAGAGATACACAGATTTTTTTAAGCTTCTGCAGTACACTGCATCAAAAAGCGACTTGATGTAATTGCTCAGAGCGTGGATTCTGGACCCAGACACCAACCTTTGCTCTGCCACTTACTAGTTGTGTGATCTGGGCCAGGTTGCTTAGACTCCCTCAACCTGTTCGTTCTCTAAAATGGGGGTGGCAATATCTATCACACAGGGCTAGGTATGAGGATTAAATAAGTTGGTATTTGTTAATCACTTAGAACAAGTGCCTGGCACATACTAAGAGCCATATGTATTGTTTAATAAAATAAAATTGTTCCCTTAATGCTCTCCCCAAGGACAGTGACAATGTACAGTCCCCCACAGCTCCTTCCTCCCCCACCAGCAGTTATTGTGACACTGGTAAGCTGGTTAATCAATAGCAGGACACTGACCCAGTGTCATGAGTCATGAGTCACCACACTCCCCTGCTGTATACAGTCCTGTCCTTAGTTGGCCAGTATTCAGATTTGGGGCATTTTGTCTTCCAAGGGGTGGGCGCAGCGCCCGTATGTCACATGGCCTCAGCATTCCTGTCAGTCTGCGGGGGAAGAAAACAACCCTTCTGAGCAGGCCTTTCCAGACCCTCCCCGGGCTCTCCCCAGCTCCCTCGCGGGGACACTGCCCACGTGGGGACGGGGGTCCTTCCATGCCGCCCTGTAGCACACCTGGCCACCCTGCCTGGTCCTAACTCTGTCTCATCTCTTTGCCAGCAAATCTGCGTGGCTTTGACATGCTTCCGGACGACGCGTGCTCTGTCCACACTCGCAGCCCCAGGTAAGGAGGGCCCTGGCCCCCCGGCCCCTCAGCCAAATTACTTTTAAACGGGGAGACTCTTTGGGTGGAAAAGGGAGCATGGAGGAGGTCGTGTGGCTTGTGCATTGTTTTACTTGGAGAAGGACAATGGCTTTCCCCACCCTGTGTGTGTTTCTCTGTGTAAAACAAGGCGGCTTTTCAGGCAGGCCCGTTCTCCCCTGCGTAGGACTGTCCCCAGAATGCCGGGGATCTGGTGTCCCTGGCACCCCACACCCACTCGGTGCCGGTGTACGGTCACACCCCCCGCACATGTTCAGCCAAGTGCAGGGCCAGCGCCTCCCCCGCTGGGAGCTGCTGACCGGTGTCAGCACAGCTTTTCCCAGCAGTGGCATTGACAACAGCCACGGGCACTCAGTCTTGGGACCCTGCTGAAGCAATGCTATTCTCCTGCCCTGGCCCGGCTCCAGGGGGCAGAGGAAGGGGCCAGAGGAAAGTTTTCATGTAGGGGCGGCCGCAGGAGCGGGTCTCACCCCTGGGAATAGGGCCACCGAGACTGCAGGGTGGGCCTCGAGCTAGTGACCAAAGTGCCTTCCTGCCTGGCCCCAGCTTATCCCACCGTGCCCGGAGCAAGGGGTCTGTTGTGACATAGCCGGAGGGCACGCGGGAGCTCGCCAGGCAGGGCTGTGATGGGCATGTCCCTAAGCAGCAGCTGAGTTCATTCCTCACTGTTGGGCAGGCCAGGACTGGGGGAGATGGCTTGTGGCCCCCCTGGAGCGCGTATGTTCAGAGTGGCTCCGCTCTGGCCAGCCCTAGCCCTGCCTGTGGCTAACCCGGGATTTCGGGCGCAGTGGGCAGACGGAACCTCGAGGTGCGCGGAACTCCTGTGACAGGCTCCGCTGTGGCGGTAAACACAACTCTGCCCATCTCCTCCCTTTTCCAGTGGTGATTGGCTGTCCCAGGCCGTAACGTTTCTAGACCGGCTTTTAATCTGGCTCAGGATCCGCAGGGACTAGACCTGTGCAGCACTCGCCATCCGGAACTCTCTCCAGGTGCAATTTAAGCCTGTTTCCGCAGGCCCTGCCGCAGCCTTGTAGCAAGAGTGTTCTTGCCTCATCCTCTGCTGGGTATTGAGATTTCAGCCCAGGGCCATCCTGTAGGTGGCCTGGGGTGTGACTGGGCCCCAGGTGGTGAACGGACCGGGCTGACACCCTCTCTGGTCAATCCTAAGCCCAGTATTTTAGGAGCCCTGTGACTATCTGATGGAAGCCGAAGCCCCTCCATCTCCCAGGAAAGCTCTCGCCAGTTTTGAAGAGTGCACGGACAGGCCCACACGCCCTGGGGTGCAGCTGGGGCGCATGCGTGAGCAGGGCACCCTGCAGCTGTGCAGCGAAGGTGCCTGTTTCAGTCCTCCTGACCCCCTACTCCGCCCACCCCAGATCCTCAGTAGAAGTTCCCAAGCACTTTCTACCTTGGTCACAACGTCCCATCTCCCATGACCACTTTCCTCACAGGCCACCTGGTGCTCCCATTTCTATCCACCGTTCCCTCTTACTGAAAACTTCTGCAGCATCTCTGCTCACTCCCACTCTCCCACCCGAACATGCAAGTTCTAATCGGTTTGCTTGGGACTTGACTCAGATGCCTTAAAAGCTTTCCTCACTGATGCTCTAATGCAAGGCCAATGGCCAGTATCTGAGTGGGATGCCAGTACAGTTGTGCAGGTTGTTCATCACACAACTCCAGACTGAAGTCAGTGTGAGTCCAGTCCCCGGGGTTAGGCAGGGCACAACATGGGTGCCCAGCTAGAGCAGCCCTGGTGCCTCCAAGTCCTCAAGTGCTTTGGCGGGTAGCTATTTTTGAGGAGAGATATTTTACCCTGCCTCAGTGTCTGAGAACATTTGAGAACTCTCAGAAGCCTCTCTGGGACTCATGTGTCAGTTGACGCCACTCCATTCTCACATGATAGGCGTCCCCAACTTACAAATGGCTTTGTGCTGCCAAGGTTATGTAAGTCAGATCTCTGGAATTGGGCACACTTTTGCAAAAAAAATGAATGCAGTTAGTTATCTGCTGCATTGATTGGACCTGCTCTCCCCACCAGGCCTGCTTTACTCAGGGCGTAGTTGTGAGGGGTGCAAGAGCCATTGTGGTTTGGTCAGAGAAATCCCTATCATCTGGAGCCCTGGAAGCCTTGTGGCCCAGGTAAAGGCTTTCCTGGAGCAACAGGAGACGGGCAGAGACCAGGCAGACGCAGGAGCTGCTAGCCCCGTAGGCCTGAGACACCTCCCTGAGGCCTGAGGAGAACAAAGCTCTGATCCTGTCCCCACCAGTGCCCTGCTGGTGACCTGGAACCTAATCTCTTGGCCTCTCAGGTCTTGCTACCTCTGCCCATGCAAGAGCCCAGTAAAGCTTCCAGTAACACTAGTCCCGCCCCGTGCTCCTGGTGCAGAGACCTGCGGGTGCTGCTGCTGCTAATGCCATGGTGGGTGACATCGCGGGGGACTGTGCACCGTCTCCTGTCCTCGCTCCTGCTTTGCCCAAGGGACTAATCATTTAACACACTGACTTCCACACTAAAAAAAAAATTTTTCCTTAGGGCCTCGGTGTTTCATTACAAAAATAGAATAAACTTCGAAAATAAAATGATCCTTTCTAATTTAATGAAATTTTTTTTATTGTTTTCTGTGAGTTGTATGCAATTAAATTGTCAATATTAATTGCAACAGTAAGAACATCAACAGGATGTTCACGAACCAACTGCAGGGTTTTGCCCATGCATGCTACAGCGTGGCAGCGTGAACTGCCTGCGCAGGCAGCTCCCAAGGTAGAGACGCATGAGACACATATGCGTCACAAGGCCCCAGGCTCAAAACTAACGTGAGTTAAATACAACTCACGTGACAGTTAATGTGTTAACTGGGAATTTCAGGAGTGTGTAGAAACATCGGTTTGGGGATTGAGTCTGGTTTCTGCCTCTACCCCTCATCCACCCCTGCCCAGATACTAGCTAGGAGCTAGGACGCCAGCGCCCTCGCCTGCTGCCTGCCCTGTGCAAGGACGAGGCAGACGACAGCACTCACAGACACTCGAGGACTGCCAGCTGCCCCGGTCACCAGGCTCTGCCAAAAGGGAGCAGTCGGGTGGAGGGAGCATCCCTCAGACTTAAAAGATGTACAAACCAAGGGCAAAACTATTGTGAAGAGGGTGCCCCTGCGGGCAGAGGTTCCTGTAAGTCAGGACAGCAGCCCCTCCTAGAGGGTGGAGGCTTCAGAGGAAAACGTAGCTACAAGTAAGTTTTGCACTTTTGTCTGTATCTTGTTTGGCAATAAAAAGGTCTGTGAATATTCCTGCTTGCTTCCTTCCCCATTCCATTCGCCACGCGCACGGCCCCTGTGGGACGGGGCCAGACGAGGGGCATCCCAGGTTGTCTGCCACCAGTGAGCACCGCGAAGGCGGTTCACACCAGCGTGATCCGTGCGGAAGGCTGCAAGGAGACCCAGCAGCAAAAGAAAAATGGGCAAGTCTCCCAAAGCGACACTGCTGCCAAGGCAGTGGAGCGGGAGGGCGGGCCCAGCGGCCGCAGGGGGCCGGGAGCAGGCCGCTCTGTAGGACTGGACAACGCCGCAGGGGGTGGCCTCAAAGGACCTGCGATGTCCGCACCTCTGAAATCCCTACGCACCAGAACGGCGTGCTGGTGCGGATGAACAGAAACAAAAGGCTCTGAAGTGTGACCGACACCAGGGAAGACGGCCTGTTTGGAGGGGCCGCCTCCTGCCGGGAAACGCCAAACGTCCTCATTAGGCTAAAGGTGAGCTTCCCAAAGCAGCCCTGCGGATGTTCCAAGCTTCCGCCTCTGCGACTGCAGGGGCGCTCCCAGCGGCGGCAGCAGCCTCCCCCGTGAGGCCGCCTCTTTCTGGACCTCGGGAGTCACACTGCAACTTCAGCTCCCGTCCAGAGCGGGGTCACGCCGCCCCCGCCCTGCGCAGCGGTGTGTGCAGGCGCTCCTGAGCTTGCCCCCAGCTCGCTCGCCGCAGGGGGCTTCCCTGGCTGCCAGGCTGTCCTGGCCCCAGGGACCTCACTCTCTCAGATACTTGCAAGACCCAGCAGGGAACCCCAGGTTCAGAAATGATCCGGTCAGGCCTGAGGTTGGCTGGCCTGCCCTTGCAGACCAAACCTGCTTGACCTCTACTTTCCGAACATACCTTGGGGCCTGACCGAGTAGTGTTTTTGCAGATTAACATGGCGCCCAGCCTGCCCTGCCTTCTGACCTGGGTATACCCAAGCACCTCAAAGGAGTCTGGCAGAGGACTCTATTCTGGAAGGTCCTGCCTTGTGTTAGGTGCAAGCAAGTACACACTCCTACGCCACGCCCCCCTCCTTCTCCCTACAGTGTTAAACACTTCCCCTGCCCTCCCCTTCCGCTCTGTCTTCTCAGGACACTTGGGCTGTGGGCAACCTAGAGCAGGCACAAACAAAAACCCCACATCCATTGGCTCCACCAGACCGCGAGAGGTGGCCCTGGTAGGCAAACAAAGCCCAGCACAGGCTCAGAAACTATATGACGTCCCCCAAAACTTTCTGACCACATGACCCAAGACAGCTCTATGGTCTAGGAATTGTGTGTTTGAAAAGGATGCAGTGTTTTGCAATTATAACATCAGACCAAGTGCTATGGGCTTTTCAAGTGTTATTCACAACACTAAATTGGAATTTTCTGAAAAGGGGTCTCTGGCTAATAACCTTCAAAGCTAACATAAGGCAAAGTGACTTAACACCACGGCTTCAAACCTGCTGAGTAATGACACAGCCCTCAGGCTGCATCAGCTGACTACTAGGACTAAACCCGACAGACATTCACTCTCACAAGATTTCTTAACTTAGACTGTTGGGCGTGGGGAGGAAGGGAATAAAACAATCAGTTAATATACTTTAGTACTCAGATGTTAATTTAATAACAAGAGACCAAAAGTAGGCTGTCACCCAAAGCAAACATCCACAACTGACCAGAACATGTCCAGGGGGTTCAGCTTTGATTATTCAATAAAATAATCTGCTGTGGCCTGGGTGTGACCAAAAGTACACAAAGTTAGGAGGGAAAACCAACCTTTATTTACACTTGGGTTCCAGTTCAGAGACAGTGTAGCAAAGTGGGGAAAAGCACAGATCCTGAGACCAAGGTCCAAATTCTATGACAAGCATATGAACTGGGTGACAACAGGCAAATATCACCCACGGTTTCTTCAGGAAAGTGGGGACAGCATCACTCCAGCTTCCAGCAGCGGTTTACAGCTGCCTCTGCCCCCATGCCCTCCCCGCCCGGTTCCTCTCAGGCGCCTGGTAGGCCCCGTGGGTGGATGTGCTTGGCACACCCTTACGGTGGGACTCTGTCGAGTTTCTGAACCTCTGAGGTAGCCCCAAACCCCAAGCTTTCACCCAGGCCACAGGGAGGAGCTCTAGAACTGGGGCAAGGACCAAGTGAGAAAAACATAGATGTTCCATAAATATTTGCTATTTACAACTCTCAGCCAGGACAAGGGCAGAGAGAGGGCCTCAGCACACAGCAACTAAATTCTGATAGTAGTTTTGAGGGAGAAAAGGATATGGTGGTGTCTTGCCAGGACCCCTTTTCATTTAGAGAGTTAAACATGATTTTCAAAATCATATACTTAACACTCATCCTAAAAACCACCCAAACACTAAGTATATGTGTGTGTGTATGTACACACAGAAACCTCGAGGTAGTTTAAATCACCATTAGAAACAACACTTTCTCTGATTCTTTGTCACAGAGTGGTGACCTGTGGCTGCACAACAGCTGCTTAAAATTATTGGTTAAATGAAAACCAGAACTCAAAATAGTCTAGGAGAGTATATAACATTTACAAGTAAGCGGTAAATACAATTATATTTTAAGTTCTTGATCTCTGAGAACTAGACTGTGACTACTCTAAAGGAACAGCTCGAGTTCTGTGTATTTCCTCTAATGCTAAAGGACACAACCTTCGGACATCTGTACAACCTGCTACGTGATCTCAATAGAGTCTATTTTATAAGTTACTTCACTCTCCATGCTTGTGTGGAGGATTCCACACAATCTCTATACACACATTTTAAACATTATTCCTGAACTTCATATGAGTTCCTCAAATAAGAAAACAGCCACCATTCTGCACCGTCCTGGGGAAGGGCTGGCCTGGCCCCCTGGCAGGAGGTGCCTGCTCGAGCCTCGGGAGAAGCCCCTCTAGCCCACTCCCCTCACACCAAAAAAGTGCAACAAATTCACACGACACGGGAAAAGCAACATCTATTGTTCTTAGAGTCTGACTCTCTTCCCACAGCAAGAAAAGTCTCTTCATAGGTACGCTAACCCTGCTCGGTCGCCAGGGAAACGGGGCTCGGCTCGCTCAGGCCAGAGCAGGAAAGTCGTCAGGGTCATCTGGGTTGGGAGCAACGTCTTGTATCTGAAAAAGAAAGGAAACGTTTCAAAACCCACGGCCATTTCACCCATTCCCAGTGGGGCCAGCACTGGGCACCCCACTGTGAAACAACGGGGAGCCTGGCACCCACACTGTGGGAGGGGAGGGCCCACGGCGGGAAGAGTCGCAGGGTCACCACAAACCCAGGGAAAGGCACCGCTCCCCTGTCACACACGCCTCCTGCCACCTCTGCCCCAGGGCTGGAGCTGCCTCTCCCCCTCCTTCCCAGAAATCCTCATCGGGGACCCTTTTGTATCTGGCACCTCCTTCATCCAGTAAGGTTTCCTACACGCCACGCACTGGGGACACTGGGATGAACACAGACAGCTGTCTTCGGGGAGCTCACGAGCTCAGGAAACACTGAGAAAGGCAAGTTGGGAACTTCAGTAACAGATGTCCTGGGACTTAGGGGCCCACAGTAAGGACATCAGTGCAATTTGATGGCAAGCAGACATCCAGGTCAGGCAAGGTCCTCCCTGAGATAAGCGGCAGCTCAAGAGCAAACAGAACACAGAGCAGGACGCTGTGACCTGACCGTGCGGGGCGCGGGCCCCAAGGCAGCTCTGCGCTGGGACAGCACAGGTAGGCGGCGGGGGGCACGGACGCGGGAGCAGAGGCAGGTGGTGCCAGATCCCTGGTGGTCTCCATACCGTCCACACTGACACTGCAGGCGGCCAGGGCTCTGCTACCTGAAAGGAGTCTATTCCCAGATCAGATCCTTTTTCCAACCTACCCTCAAACGTACCCAGGAAAAAAATTGTTTTTTGCTCTTAGCTAAGTAAAACCAAACTATAGGTACTTCTTCCAGCAGCTGCTCCCTAGAGTGAGGGAATCAGGCAGCAAAAGGAACAATGCCGAGACCAGCCACAGAGAAGGGGTTCTGTGCCGGCTCTATTGTCAAAGGGGCCTGGTGTCTGAACCCTGCTAAATAGGTGCTCATACGTTTATCATACAATACACCTACTACACGCTAAGCACTGTGCTTGGCACAGGGAAACGCATGCTGAGCAAAGGCGGTCATGCTTTCTGTGCACTCGAAGGTGAGCAGGTCAATCAATAATCACACCAGTGAGAATACAACTGCAAATGGAAACAATGCTTGAAAGAAAAGAAATAAAACCCTTTGCTCACAGACCTTGACTAGTACAGAAGGAGATGTGATCAGAGAAGACTTCTCTGAGGAAGTGAGGCAGGGAGGATCTACTCTAGGTAAGAGGCGCAGGGTGGTGGAAGGACCTGCAGGTGCAGGAGCCCGCGGGGTGAGAAGTGTGCAGTGTGAGCAGCCGGGAGCAGAGCAGCCTGGCTGAGGAGGGGTGAGGATGGTGGGGGCAGGCAAGCCAGGGAGGGGGGAAGGGGGGTGATTACAAAGGGCTGAAACCTTAGGAAGGATTCTGTCTACCCTGAAAGCCCAACCCGGGCACAGTGACACTCAGACCACAGGATGCAAATGTCAGGTGGTCTGATTCCATCCTGAGCCCAGGGATCTTGTCTGACACAGATCAGGAGAGAGAGTTCTGGGAGAGCATCGGGGCACATGGCGGACCTCCCTGCAGACACTGGGAAGCCAGAGCTATGGAACGGTCTGTACCCGACCGACGCCTGTGACGCTCCGCCACCATTCCAAATGCCCCAGCGTCAGACCCACACTGGCTAAAGGAGGAAGCAACTGCAGAAACCTTCCAAATGACCCTCCAAAATTAGACCATCCTGGGCCCAGGGCATCCTCATCCTCACTTCCTTCAGCAAACCACCCGGGATTTATAATACAAACACCTACCACCACTTCTGCTCTGGGTCCATAGTTCTCTGCCCTCCTGATCCTTCCCCGGCCTCCCCGGGTGCCACCTCTGGCTCCACGCCCGGGACGAGGGAGGTTACCAAAATTAATCTCCAACTGGGATGTGATATCATTGGTGGCTTTCCGGAAGACATGGGAATCATCTTCATAGTCATCCTTTACCATCTGAAACACAGTGACAGCATCAGACACGTACACACACAGCCATCTCCACGAACACTCGCTCAGCTTAGCGTCCTACAGATGAGCATTTCCGACACGCTGCACAAGGCTGACCACCATGAGGGACTGAAAAGAGCCACTCCCCGGACAAAGGAAGACAGCACTGCTGTCCTGGTTCTAATGCAAGCGAGTTCTGTACGTTCCATAGTCACACACACGTTCTTGTAATTACAGTCTTAATCTGAACATTTTGAACTTACTATGATTTCACGTGAGACCAAAGTTCCATCAGTTGAACAGGTTAAGACGTAAGATGTGACAAGACTAACAGAAATCAACATAAATGTTTTATATCTACTTCTGAGATTAAAAAGTTTTAAATTTATGCTTTTCTTTTTTCTTAAGAGACAGGTATTGCTCTGTTACCCAGGCTACAGTGCAATGAATGGCACGATCATAGCTTACTGTAACCTTGAATGGCCTCAGGTGATCCTCCTGCCTCAGCCCCTGGAGTAGCTGGGACTACAGGCACATGCCACCATGTCTAGCTAATTTTTAAACTTTTTCTAGAGACAGGGTCTTGCTATGTTGGCCAGGCTGGTCTCAAACTCCTGGCTTCAAGTGACCCTCCTGCCTTGGCCTTCCAAAGTGCTGGGATTATAGGTGTAAGGCACTTCACCTGGCCAATTTCTGCTTATTTTCTATCTCATGTGTTTACTAATGCTACTTTGACAAACAAGGAAATATTACCTTCCTAGAACTTGACAGAGAAATTCCTTTCAATGTAAGTGCCGACTGTACAAATACCACATGTTAAAAACCACGTGATTACTCCCACACACACTGCTAAATTTGGCTTTTTTAAAAAAATTAAAAAATAAAAACTGCATGATTTATAATAAACAATTCTCACTCAAAATATGTAGAAATTTTGTAAAACAACAGAGTATGGGTATTTGGATGTCACTATCAATGCTACATAAAGAAGTCAAGCTGCCCTTTAAGAACTGCTTTAGGTAAAATTCTTTGAGAAACTTTTTTTTTTTTTTTTTTTCTCGCTTTGTTGTCCAGGCTAGAGTGAGTGCCGTGGCGTCAGCCTAGCTCACAGCAACCTCAAACTCCTGGGCTCGAGTGATCCTTCTGCCTCAGCCTCCCGAGTAGCTGGGACTACAGGCATGCGCCACTATGCCCGGCTAATTTTATATATATATATCAGTTGACCAATTAATTTCTTTCTATTTATAGTAGAGACGGGGTCTCACTCTTGCTCAGGCTGGTTTTGAACTCCTGACCTTGAGCAATCCGCCCGCCTCGGCCTCCCAAGAGCTAGGATTACAGGCGTGAGCCACAGCGCCCGGCCTGAGAAACTTATTTTAAGAGGTCAAATAAGTTCTAGCTCTTGTTAAAACTATATAAATAAATCTAATGCAAATTTGATTTGGCTTCCTCTATTAATAAGGATAAAACAACAAAAACCTTCACTTTAAGTAAAATATAAACCTACAGAAAACATGCCAATGATCTTAGATGAGAATCTCAAAAGTAGTAGCTTTTTTCCCCCAAAGTAGTGTGTAAACAGTCCCACAACTTGTCCGGGAAATGGGATAAAATTTCTATGAACATATCAACCCCTCTGAGCCCTATGTTCATTACAGGTTTCATGTTTAACATTTGTGTCCCCTTTAAAGTTTCAAATTAAAATGAAGCTGATGCATTAGACAGATGGATTCTTGAAGCCAAAAGGTAAAGGAAAGTAACCCAGCAGCACTGCACTCCAGTAAAAAGATAAAGATGTGAGAAACAATAAGAGGCAAAATAATCAACTACTGCCTTGCTGAGAAAACTAGCTCTCAGCGTGTCACAGCAGGGAAGCAGCTGGCAAAGCCGGCCTACTGAGCCATGCTGTGCACCCCAGTACAAGATGGGACACAGTGCAGGGGAAGGAGGAGCGAATTCACAGTGTAACCCAGCTCCCCAACCTTTTTGGCACCAGGGACCGGTTTCATGGAAGACAATTTTTCCGCAGAGCAGGGGTGCCTCCGCAGATGGGGAGGGGAGCGGCTATAAATACAGATGAAGCTTCGCTCACTCACCTACCATTCACCTCCTGCTGTGCACCCCCCTTCCTAAGTTTCATGGAAGACATTTATTCCACTGATGGTCATGGGGTGGGGGTTGGGAGGGTACCTTGAAGGAGCTCTGCGGCCTGGTCCCTAAGAGGCCATGGGTGTGTACCATTCTGCGGCACAGTGGTTGGGACCACAGGTCTAAGGCCTGGGTTCCACTCCCAGTCCTGTCTGGCCCTGGCCAAAGTGCTCTAACTGTCCAGCTCATTTCATAGGTTTGCTGTTAGGACCCCTAACTTTTCAGACAAAGTTCCAGGCAAACAAGAGGCATTATTCTAGAGCTTTTGTCTCTTAGGGTACCCAGAACAAAGTTAACTAATGACTCCAAAATTTGGTTTATGTTGCTTTAAGAACAATGCCTGGCTAAAATCTTCAATGCTCTAAGATTAACAAGGACCAAAGATATGTGCTTTACCGAGACCAAGCTCGATGACTCAGCTAACCCAGTTGCTTCAAATATTCCAGGAGACCTCTGGAGCCGGGGAGGATGAATCTGATGTGGATTAAGGAAGAGCAGCTTCTATTTTTACCTAACATGTCAGCTGCATATTTCACATTCTGACAGCACATTTGTTTTCAAGAAAGCTTTATTTACAAAGCCCAGAACAAAAAAGAACAAAGGACCCAGCTAGCTAATGGACTTGTAAAACAATCTAACAGAGATTTCCGACGGAATAAGGCTCTGGCCTCCTATGTCTGCAAAAAGCCATTTCTGGTGGAGCAGCTCAAAATTTGCCAGTAAGGCCTCCAGGAGCTTGGACTGATCTGGGTGGTAGGGGATCATAAATGATCCTCTCAGCAAAGCACCCACACAGAGAATACTAGTAACCAAAGTGTAAATGGGAGCACAGGCGGATCTACATGGTATGAAATTCCTGAGCTTCAAATTGGAAATCAGCAAATAACATCCAGCAGAGGAGAGTGTGCTCATCACCACAGCCACACACGGTGGCATCAAGCTGCGACTGAATGATGCGACTTCTACATTCCATAATCAGGGTATGTACGCGTCAGTGTACCCTTACGTTCAATAACGTAAACAGAGATGCTAATTAGATGACAATTAGCAATATATGCTGGTAGATATTTTCACTGAAACATCTTCCTTCAAAACGGAGGCATCTGATAAAGAGCTGAACGTACACCATGAAAAAGGAGGCCCTCACAACACAGAGGACCCGAGCAAGCCCCAGGGCGTGGCAGCTCTTGCAGCAGTGCCTCACCCTGCTGCCAGGCAGCTCAGGGGCTGTCTCCTGCCATTCCTGCAGTTAGGCAGAGGGCGCAAAGCTGCGGAAATAACAGGAAAGGCATCACAGAGCACAGAACCCCAACCATAGTTTAACACGTTGACTGCCACACTAGAAAAAAAAATTTTTTTCCTTGGGGCTACAGTGTTTTATTACGAAAATAGAAGAAAAACTTTGAAAACAAAATTATCTTTTCTAATTTAATGAAAAAAAATTCTTTAATTGTTTTCTGTGAGTTATATGCAATTAAATTGTCGATATTAATTGTAACCATAAGAACAAGTAAGATTTTCATGAACCAACTGCATCTACATATGCTTCACGAGGCCCGGGGCTCAAAAGTAGCAGGAGTTAAATACAACTCACATGGCAGTTAATGTGCTAATATGATCAACTACTCCCAATGAAATGCTCTTAGCATAATCTAATAAGGAAAATACAGAATAGCTATTCTCTGAAATGGCATCATTCTATACCTCTCACTTAAGAGACAAAAATGAAATACAATTAACATGCAGTACTTGTACAGTCCCAGCACAGTTCCAGGGTCAGCAGAAAATGCACTGTCAACTCTAACTGCTTTGTACTTCAGTGTCAATACATCAAGTTTCAATTCCTCTTCTTGTAAACAGTCAAGATACAGTAAAATTAGGCATATATCATCTATGATTAGAAACAAGAATGCCAGCTATTAATGTTCCATTTTCAAAGCAGAAGTGGAAAAGTCCATTTCATTTCCAATAAGGTAAAAGTAAAGATTACCTCTAGATACAAAATGTAATGCTTACATCATCTCTGTATTTTGACTTGTGAATCACCACTGCTTTGGAAGGAACAGCAGATTCTGGTTTCCGGATGTTAAACTCAGGCTTTGGTCTGGTCTGTTCTTGAAGATTTTTCCACTCATCTAAGGTCATCTCTTGAACTTGATTTTCTTCTTCTACCTCCAACTCAGGAACTCTGTAAAGATGTATAATCAATAAGAATAATTTTTGATGGGACTGAAACGTCTACTTTATCAAATAAAAAGTTATAACTATTAGTTTAACATACTTTTATGGTACTACATCGTAAATGTAAATAAGGTAAGAAAATCTTCAAATCATAACCTTCCATATTTTATTTCCATTTTATGCTATCATTGCCAACTGAAGATAATTCCTATCTGTGTTCACAGAAGTGTTTGAAAAATGGGAACCTCACTATCCCCACAACATTAACATTACTCTTCCCCACTGGCACTCCCTTCCAAATGGCATTGAAGAAAAAATGAGATACTTGTGGAAGAAAATGAGAGATGCTATTGAAATAAAATATAGGAAACCATGAAGAGAAGTTTTAAAACAGTGTGTCACAGATCATACTTTTGTAAATATTCTCTTTAAATTAGTGAGTTAAAATAAAAACAAAAAACAGAAGATAGACACATAGATCAACAGAATAGAATTCAGAGTACAAAAATAAATCCTCACATTTGGTCAACTGACTTTTTTTCAACCAGGGTGCCAAAGATAACTCAATGGAGAATGAAAAGTATTCTCAACAAATGGTGCTGGGACAACTGGATATCTACATGCAAAAGAATGAAGTTAAACCCCTACCTCACACCATAAATATAAGAGCTGAAGGTATAAAATTCTTAGCCAAAAACAGGCATAAACCTTCATGACCTTGGATTATGCAATGGTTTCTTCCATATGACACCAAAAGCACAGCCAAAGAAAAAGTAGATAAATTGGACATCCATCATCCAGAACTTCTGTGCTGCAAAGAATACCATGAAAAAGTGCAAATATAACTCATAAAAACTGAGAAAATATTTACAAATTATATAACTGATTAAGGACTTGTATCTAGGATACATAAAGGACTTACGTATTAGTAGGGACAAATAACCCAACTAAAAATTGGCAAGGATCTTCTTTTCCAAGGAAGATATACAAATAGTCAATAAGATGTGCAACATCATTAACCATCAAAAAAACATAAATCAAACCCACAATGAGTTGGACGACTCCATATTCACTAGGATGGCTAGCATCAACAAGACATTTAACAAGTGCTGGGGAGGATGTGGACAAATTGAAACACACATACATTGTTGGTGGGAATGTATTAATAAAATGGTATGAACACTTTGAAAAAGCCTGGCAGTTCCTCAAAAATGTAAACACAGAGTTAGCCTATAATCCAGCAGTTTCACTCCTGGGGATATATCTAAGAGAAATGAAAACATACGTCCACATGAAAACTTCTACGTGAATGTTCATCTTGCAGCATTATTCATAACAGCCAAAAAGTGGAAGCAACCTAATGTCCATCATCTAATGAATGGATAAACGATATATGGTAAATTTTTTAGAATATCTGGCAATACAAAGAAACAAAGTACTAATATACATTACAACATGAGCAAACCTTGGAAACATAATGCCAAATGAAATAAGCCAGGCAAAAAAGAATTATGTATGATTCCATTTATATGAAATATTCAGAAGAGGCAAATTCATAGAGACCGAAACCAGATCGGTAGTGGCCAGAGGCTGGGGGAGGGAGAATGGGAAGTGACTGTTAATCGGTATGAAGTTTCCTTTTGGGATGAGGAAAATGTTCTGGAACTAGATAATGGTGATGGTCGCATAACACTGTGAACGTACTAAATGCCACTGAATTGTACACTTTAAAAGGATTACAACTGTAAATATATTAATATGTATTTTTATCACTACAAAAAATAATATGCAAAAAAGGAAGTACTGACACTTGCTACCACATGGATGAACCTGAAAACATTATGCTAAGTGAAATAAGCCAGGTACAAAAGGATAAATATTGAATGATTCTGCTTCTATGAGGTACCCAGAATATGCAAATTCATAAAAACAAAGTTGAATAGAGGTTACCAGGGACTGAGAGAAGGGGGCAATGCAGAGTTAGTGTTTAATGGATACAGAATCCTGTTTGGGATGATAAAAATTTTCGGCAATGGATAGTGGTGGCAGTTATACACAATGTGAATATAATTGATGCCACTAAATTATATATTTTTAAATGGTGATAATGGCAACTTTCATGTTAGTTACATTTTTATAATTTAAAAAAATTAATAATGTAATATACACCAAAAACCACTGACCTGTATATTTTAAATGTCTGAGCTGCACATTATGAGAATTATAGCTCAATAAAGTTATTTAAAAGAAATAAAACAGTAGGAAGGGAGTGGGGACAGGATCAAATCTATACCTTCACTGAAGGGCTAATGTAATTTAAGGTTCTAGAAACATATAGGTTAATGTCACGGAAAATATAAGTAAAATCAGGAGACATACCTAATCACAGTGCATCCAAAATAGACACATTTGTAGTCACTTTACAATATCAAGCTGATATAAAAAAACATCAAAGCAGAGGTTGCCTCTGAATGAATGTGAAGGAACTTTCTGGGTGACTGGTAATGTCCTACATATTGACAGGAGTTTGGATTCCACAGGAATTTGTCAAAACACTGAATATACACTGAAGATTTGTACATTTCACAGTATATACATTTTATATCAGAAGAAAACTGTAAATAAATACTGAGTTCTATTTAATGATGTCGAACTATTTGGCAGAAGTGAAGTGTATAGATGTTTATAATTTATTATGAAATGTAATAAAAAACATGATAAATTAATAATGGATAGATATGTGATAAAACAAACATGGTAAAATATAAATGGCAGAGTTTAGATGGTGGGTATAGATGTTTAAACTCTTTAAACTTTGCTGTTTGAAATTTTTCATAATAAAATGCTGGAAAAATACCAAGCTTTAAGCATAGATCTTAAACATATGCTGACAAAAATATGAAAAGATACTAAGAAAAGACATTGTAATAACAAAATGCTGGAAATCCAAATCCATCTAAAGAGGAATTCGGTAGAAATATTATAAGCACACATGGATTTATAAGCAGCTATAAAAGGAATGAACAGTTTCTTTATACACCACTGTGGAGCACCTTCCAGACAGAGTGAGAAAAGAGCAAAGTGAGGTGTATAGGTTGTTACCATTCACCCAAGAAATGGGGAGGCACACAAAGATATATTCACATCATACATTTTTTAAAAATTGGAATATAATCAAGAAAGAACAAGGATAAAAGCTACTTGAAAATACTATTTTTCAGACTGAACTTTAGAAACATATAACCATTTTACATAATTATAAAACAGATTTTTTTAATTCAGTCTCTAAAATTTGAAAGTAAAACATTCATTTTTCCTAAATGTTTATGGAAACTGGTGATATAAACAATCAAGAGAAACGATTTCAACTGACTTTAAAATATAAATTTGATTACTCATCTCCTGCTACATAACTTTTTAGTCGTCATATCACTGAAGGTAGCGTAGGTAATGTTATTTGTGACCATTATATGTGTAGCAAATGATTAATAGTGTAATCTCACTGAGAACTGATTTTCAGTATGCAAGAAAAGGAGAAATAATTTTAAGAACATCTAGTTAAAAATTCTGTATCTTAAATTTGTCTTGAAAATATTGAATAAACTCATATTTTATAATATTTATGTTATGTGTGTATCTATTCCCCAGCTCTGTCCACTAAAATGCTCTAGAAACAATCATGAATCTAGCAGTCGTGGTTCTTTATTAAAGTAGCTTTACTAAAGAAGATACACAGATGGCAAATACCACATGAAAAGATGCTCAAGATCATGAGTAATCAAGGAAATGAATATTAAAACCACAAAGAGATATGCACCTATTATTATGACTAAAAATTATAAAAAACGACCATACCAAGTATTAGCAAGGATGCAGAAGAAATAAACTCTCATTTACTGCTGGTGAAAAAATAATAATGGTACAACCACTTTAGAATAGAATTTGACAGTTTCTTACAAAATTAAACATAGACATATCATATAGTCCAACCATTGCACTCTTAGATGTTTACTCAGGAGAAATGAAAGCATATATCCATATAAACATTGTATACAAAAATGTTTGTAGCAGCTTTATAGCAAAAACTGGAAATAACCCAATGACCACCAACAGGTAAATGGAGAAACTATGGTCCACCTGTACAGGGAACACTGCTCAGCAATGAAAAGGAACGAACCACGGATACATGCAACAACATGGATGAATCTCACAGTAAGATGCTCAGCAAAAGAACAGAGACCAAAAAGAGCACAAGCTGTATGATTTCATTTATATAAAATTACAGCAACTGCAAACTAATTGTAGGGACAGAAAGTGGGTCACTGGTTGCCTGAGGGAAATGGGACAAGAGAGAGGGACTACAAAGACACACAAGGAAACTCTGTGTGGTGATGGATATGCTCGTGATTTTGATTGTGGTAATGGTTTCACAAGGGTATACGTATATCAAAGCTTGTAAAACTGTACACACTAAATATGTACCATCTATCGATGTGAATGATATCTCAAGCTGTTTTAAAAGAAAAGACCTAATTAATTGAGATGTACATTTCAATACTGTTTTAAACGAGTAAGTTGTTTTTTTTAAAAAAATTCTGAGACAATTAGGGAAACTGACAAACTGCCTAGGTATTAATGATATTAAGGAATTGTTAAAGTTTTTTAATGGAGTAATGGTATTCTACCTATGTTACTTTTTTATTTTTATTTATTTATTTTTATTATTATTTTTTTTTATTGTATTATGGGAGTACAAGTGTTAAGGTTACTTATATTGCCCCTATCCCCCTCCCCCCTTGAGTAAGAGCTTCAAGCATGACCATCCCCCAAACGTTACACATCTTACTCGCTGTAGTTGTATAAACCCATCCCCTCCTCCCCCCTCCCACCCTCCCGACACCCGATATATGTTACTCCTATATGTCCACTTAGGTGTTGATCCGTTAATACCAATTTGCTGGTGAGTACATGTGGTGCTGGTTTTTCCATTTTTGAGATACTTCACTT